CCAGGACGGAGACTCTTTGCGGTTTAACCACGGGCTTCGATTATGCCTTGCCCAGCTAAGCACTAACTAACTAGTTAGGCTAGACAGAAACGCTAGATGTGCCAGTCCGGACGTGATATACATACATACAACGATACCAACATATTGGCCATTATTGTGTGGTTAAATGGTCTATGCTTATGAAGGACATCTGCCTCCAGCATCGTCAAAGACGATAAACAACTTATGCGAGACACCCTGCCTACTTGAGCAGGATTGCCCAGGCTGCCTGCGAAATTTAAACTTCACCCGCTTTCCGTCGAACGCTTTGAACTGGCCCCTGGATGGCTTATTATTATTATTATACATACTCCGTACATAACAGTGGTACCCACTAACTAAAAAAAAAGCCGTTCGAAGGGCTGGATAGGTTCAGATAGTTTTAGTGTAGAGTACTTCGTACTTATTACTATGTAAGGCTGCTCTCTCTTTAAACAGAAGGTTAGTTTTCTAAATAAGGTGGCCAATATTACTATAGCTTACTGTAAAGACAATACCTGCTGGAGGAATCCTGGGATCCCTCACTTACGGATCACGGATTGCTTTGCATACCCGTGTGGGCACATACATGCATCAGCAAGGCCTTCCATCGTGCAGTTTACCGAGAGCTGTGTGCAGTGAGACTTCAGATGATCTGGGCACAGCAGACGATTCTCGAAATATATATAGCCACAAGAGCCCTCATCATTTAGCACAATTACACATCTTAAAATCCCATCTTCTTTTTGAGTCTTCTCTCATGATCCTTCCCAATATGCAATTCCTCATTGTTCTCAGCCTTTTGGCGGCTTCAACTGTGTCGGCTCAATCAAAAGCCTGGGAAAAAGTATCGGCAACATTTAACGATTTTTTCAATCCTGGTTTTAATGAATGGCAAAAAGAACTAGACCGCCTATCAGTTAGCAACAAACCCTTATCGCTAAGTGTCAGTGTACTCCGTAGAGACTGATCACTACAACTCCCCTTATTTCAACGCTGACAACTAACCCGGGTTAGCAACTGGCTGCATGGATCGACATTGTTGGGAGCGGTCATATTGAGCTTGCAAGTGCCCTAGAAGACCCTCAACCGTTGCCGCCCAAAGATATCAAGGGAATGTGTGACAATTTTCCAAGGGTGGGCTCAGCCCTGTCCTAACTTGCAAACATGACTGCAGCGTCCTAACATTGAACAGCTTATGGACTTGACAGCTGAGAAGTCAAGGGCCACGGGTGCATTCGGCATGATCGTGACGTCCATTGGGCAAGACAAGTTTCTTGGTAATGGGCAGATGAGACACGCCCTACAGCACTTCCAGGGCGGTTTTGAGGTGGGTTCAGGGCTCTCGGTCGTTTGTTGCAATGGTTCGACTAACCCAATTATTTCATTCCTCAGAAAACCGTGGACAGGCTGAACAAGCACAAGATTGACTGCAGCGGCACCCTTCCACCCAAAATCAAGGCGGCCGAGAAGGAGCTGAAAGAGGCCATTTTGAAATGGCAGAAGTAGAGCCCATAGAGCAGTGAGGGCGGGAGAAAGGCTTGTGCGGAGGTTGTCTTGGGTCACCGGGGGTGGCGTAGCGAAGGGCTGTGCCGTTTCTGATATCCGTCCCAAGGCGGCTGTTGTCGCAAGTAGCTGGCTAGTTAGGTAGTTAGATAGATGGTCAGTTAGTTAGTTAATGAACCAACTCGCCAACTGGGCACCGAGCTTCCGCCGTCTCGCTCTCGTAGACCGAGCCTGCAGCTGGCAGCACGCCAGGACCGGCTCGCACCATGGCCGGCCGCGTCTCACCGCCGGCGGCGACGCGCGGAAACGGAGCTCTGGCGCTGCGGCCCCTGCGCGATCGCCGCCGCCATGTCACGTGCCCGCCCGTTCGCGGCGATTGCGCGCGCACGAACTTCACGCCGTCTGAGACCCGCGAGTGTCAGCGCCAGACATCCTCACCCCGCGCCCGCTTGGCCGGCGCCCCCCGCCGCTGTTGTTCGTTGTTCGAGAGCGTCGCCGGGCCTCCAGGCTGACCCGACGAGGCCAGACCGGACCTCTCCCCCCCCCCCCCCCCCCCCCCCCCCCCCCCCCCCCCCCCCCCCCCCCCCCCCCCCCCGCCCCCCCCCCCCCCCCCCCCCCCCCCCCAGGCGAAGCTGCCCCGATCCAGGCATGATCGGCGACTCCGTGGCCAGCGGCTGCGGAATTCGTCGCGGTGCTGCAACCCTCACGCAGCTTGAAAAACCTTGGGTCTTCCCCGCGTTTATCTTTGCGCCCGCTTCTTTTCTTTTCTTCTCTCTCCCTTCCGCTGTGCTTCGCTCTTTTTCTGTGCTCTGCTCTTTTCTCGGCCTCCTTGTGTGTTGTGTACCCCTGCGAGCCTGGTTCTGATTTCTCTGGCTTGCCTGCCGATTGCCCGCGCCGGCTGCCTCACTTGCAGTCATGGGTAAAGAGGGTGAGTTGCCAGCCTGCTGCCCTATCAAAGCTGCCGTCCTTGTGTGCTGACCTCTGCCAGTGGCGGACATCGAGTCCCCGTCGAAGACTTCCATCGAAAATGGCGCTGAGCCTAGCAGTCCCCCCCAGCTGGTCTCGACCACCGAGCGCAAGCTGATGGCCAAAATTGATATGCACATCTTGCCTGTGCTTTGTGTGCTGTACCTCCTGGCCTTCTTGGATCGGTACGTGCTGCTCTCTTACTTGCATGAATACTCTGTGCTAATTTTCTTCTATGTAGTGTGAATATCAGTAACGCTGTTATTTTTGGCCTGCGAGAGGACCTGAAAATCGTATCTGGCACCCAATACAATACTGCCTTGACGATCTTCTTCATCCCATACATTCTCTTTGAGGTAGGAATCACAACACCATCTACTCTTCCTTCTTGTCTTGACTGATCATTCTTCCAGATCCCATCAAACATTCTCCTGAAGAAACTCCGTCCTCATGTGTGGTGTAAGTCCTCCTCTAACCTGCATGCCAAGTGCAGGACAAGCTAACATGCGCGCGTCAAGTGTCACTCTGCATGTTCCTCTTTGGATTCGTCACATTGGTTCAGGGCTTTGTGAAGAACTATGCTGGCTTGCTGACCACTCGTTTTTTCCTGGGTCTTTTTGAAACCGGCATGTTCCCAGGGTGTAAGTTCACATGCGTTTCGCCCGTGTTTCATCCACAGACTCTAACAAAGCACGCTGCCTAGGCTTCTACCTGATGGGCATGTGGTATAAGCGCACAGAAGCGCAGAAGCGCTTTTCGTTCTTTTTTAGCTCCACCACTCTCGCGGGTGCCTTTGGTGGCCTCTTGGCTGGCGCCATCGGCAAAATGGACGGCATGAGCGGCTACCGCGGCTGGCGATGGATCTTTATTCTGGAAGGTGTTCTCACCTGTGTCATCGCCGTCGCTTGGTTTTTCTTGATCCCGGATTTCCCAGAAGATGTCAAATGGATGAACGAGGAGGAACGCGCCTTCATCCAGACGAAGCTCGCTAAGGATGTCGGAACTGCTGGTCACCATGTCTCACTTACCTGGAAAGACGTTCTCGATGTGCTCAAGGATGGTAAGTGCCCTGTTCCTTGTATCGCTAGCGAAGTAAAGTCTAATAATTCGTGCAGTCAAGATCTTCCTCGGAGGCTTGATGTACTTCGGAATGATTGTCCCGGCTTACAGTTACGCTTATTTCGCTCCCACTATTATCAAGACATTTGGATATAGCGGTATGTTTGAAGCTCTATTAGTATTATCAATTTGAAAAATCCTCGTGCTGATCCACTTTTCTAGCCATCGAAACACAGCTCTACTCCATCCCCCCTTGGGCTGTGGCATTTGCAGTTGCTATGATCCTCGCCTATTTCTCGGATCGTTTACAACATCGTTTCGCCTTCGCAGTCTTACCCATTTTTATCGCTATCGCTGGTTTTGCAATCGTCCTCAACGTTCATGGCGTCGCCACGCGCAGAGTTCAATACTTCGCTCTGTTCCTCATCACATCCGGTGCCTTCAGCGCTATGCCCATCATTGTTTGCTGGTTCGCCATGAACTTGAGCGGTCACAAGCGCCGAAGCGTTGGAACCGGATGGCAAGTCGGATTTGGTAACAGTATGTACTGTCTCACTCGATTTCCCCAAGCACTTATTTTCTAACCTGTTTCACCTCTAGTCGGTGGTATCATCGCCACATACTCTTTCATCCAGAAAGATTCCCCCCGCTTCATTCCCGGCCACTCCATTTGTCTTGCTTTCCTTGTATTCTCAGCACTTATGTGCATGGCATATCTTGCTTTGCTCATGTACCGCAACAAGAGCCGTGACAAGGCCGCAGCTGCAGGTGTTGTTCAAGCTGATGATGCGGATCTCACTCCAGAACAGAAGAGAGAGAGGGATCTGCTGGGAGATATGAACCCGGAATATCGCTATCAATTATAGAGGAGTCTTATGGGCGCCAAAATAAAAGGCTTTCGTTATTCTGTTAGATATATCCCTTCGGCGTCGGATGGTCATGCTGTACTTGTTTGTACTAGTTTTACGAGTTTGTTGCTAATGATTTGATTCTGTTTGATGATGATACACATAAAGATCTCTCTATCTTCGTGTTTATAGCCTGGATTTGTATCTATTAGACTACACCAATCCTTATGCTATGCATGTTACTCTAAGAGAAGTGAAAAATAAAATACCACTACATCAATCACGTCCTTGAACAAACATAAGATCGCCGAGTCACATGTTGCCGATTATGGAAATTATACCTGGTTCTTTATGATATCCACAATTGAATTTATACATAACCGTTATCGCTAAAATACAAATATGGTATCAGATAAAACATAAGCGGAATGATATCCCAACACGTCTCTCCGAGGCACGCCAACTTCTAGGAACAAGACTATCTAAACTGTAACGAGGGGAAAAATCGAGGACCCGAGTAGCCCTGCGCCGTAATATTCTGGATATTAACCGTTCCGTTTCCAAACGGGCTCCATAATTTGATTAGTATTAAGCGTCCAGACCTGTCAGAATTGTTTCTATTAGTTTGGTGGAGTGCTAGCGACTGGAAAAGGGTAAACGAGCAGGGGGCATGGGGGATGCAGGATGAGGGGAGGGGGGCCCGCAAGAGTAAAGCTTACACCGGGGGGTTAAATTTGATGGTGACCGCGTCGTTGTGTCCTCCAATAGAAAACTTAGCATGCGGAGCAAGAACCTGTTCGTTGTTTGGCCCCTGCCGCGCCGCATTTTCGGTGCTATCCGCGGGTGCGCCCGGAGGAAGAGTCATGAAATGGGACAGAAAGCGACTGCGCAGGTCTTGGTTTCTAGGGTCGACGCCTAGCGGCCGTCGAACTTGGCGGCGGAGATCGTGCAGAAGTCGGTCGGAAGACTCGAGCACATCGTCGTCGCTCTCCTCGCTGTCGAGCTCTGCTAGGCAGGGCATGCCGCAGTCGTCATCGGTTTCCTCTTCATCGACGTCAGATATGAGGCTGTCAACGGAGTCGTCTTCTGGTGGTGCGTCGTATAAACCGTCATGTTGTTGAACTACGACATGGAAATCGGGGGCAGGGGATTGGCTCGGGGCTGCATCGGCGTCTGCGGGATTAAAGGTGCGGTGCCGACAGTAAGGTGGATGGTTGGGATGTACGAGAACAGTACGATCCCTTCTCTGAGCTGAGGTTCGATATTTAACAAAACGCCGGTTGCCGTGTTCTACAGAGTATCGATGTCGTCGAGAGGAATATAATATGTGATATCGGGCTGTACGGTTAAGCATCTCATCTGGAGTCATCGTCACAAATATCATGCCTTCGCGGATACCAGATCTGTATTATCAAAGATTATTGATGTTAGCACGAGGTTATGCCATGATGATAACATGTGGAGGAGACACTTACGGTCCAGCAAGTCCAGATTCTGGGGCCTTGATAATCAAACGGTTCAAGCAGAAAGGAGTTTGGCCTTGATGTCGTAGAATTATGTTGCACCTCTCACTTTTCGCGCTAAATACCGAATTATCGTTTAATAGGACGTTTTCTGGCCAGGAGCTTCGACCATTCACTCCACATGCACCTCCATCACAGCTGAGAATTTCCATTTCCAAAGGACCCGGAACAACTTGGCCATAGTGCCCATAACTGAATCCTCGGATACCCTCGCGTTTGTCGTCTGAATCAAGTTTGATTCGTTTATTTCGTCGCCGGCTTGAATGGTGCCTATCAGAAGAATTTTCACGGGAACCAGCGCCTTCAGTCTGCTCCACAGCTTCTCCTTGCTGGGTGCTGTTTATTTCATTGGGATCCTCAAACTGTGCATCTGCTACTAGTTTGATCCACAGTCAGTTTTAGATTATGATTATACGGTGTCAGAATAAGCCTGACCTTGAGAGTTGGCTGCCATGGCGGGCCTATGCCTCCGGCTTGTGCCTACGGGCCTTGAGCCGGAATGGATCAAATGAGACTGCAGGGAAGTCGACGCTTCTTGTATAACACGCCGTAGCCGTTCTCGTCTCTCAGAGTTATCTCCAGATCTGGAAGTACGGGGCCGGTCGAGCAGATTGGATGATGCAGTGGCGGACGAAAGCTCCTCTAATTCGCGGTCAAGGGTCTCTAGGGCACGGTCTCTCTGCTCTAGATCTCCGCCCTGGAATTCCGATATAAGCTCTCGAAGATGGCGTAGTTGAGACGCTATTGTTGAGCGTGTTTGAGTGGGTTGCGATAATAAATTTCTAGAAGGGGGGTCATTAGAGTCTGGGGGTGAGCCAAGGTTCCTAGACTGAATTGGAAAGACGGCAAGTTTAGACTTTAATTATATGAACTCTTATAGTGGGGGTTCTAAGGTGTCAAGGGATTAACATACCATGTTGAATGAGCTACTGAGACGTTGGATTGTGGCAGAAGTGCATATTGCTCAGCGTTTCGGGGAAAGCGAAAGGTCAAGTTGCAGCAGGTATACACATGCAGTTGTGTTGCCAGTGGCGAGTAGGGATCGTTGGACTTCGCAGTACCCTGGATTTGAGTATGGGGAGTAAAATTAGATATGTCAAAGTGAAGGAAAGACGGGTGCTGTACAGAGTACAAGGCGTCTGAGATCCCGCGCGACCATGGAGGGCGGTTGATGGCGGGCAGCTGGCCAGTGCGCGGTTAGGATTAGGGTGATTATGTAAATAGTTATGCTAGTCCGTATAGAGTTTAGCTCTGACTCAAGGTTACGCCTGCCGCGCGCCGATTCTGTCACAGGCCCACTCACCAGCCACATACAACACGTGACTCGGCTTCGAAGCTGGGCATCGACGTCAATCCTTAAGGCAAACAGGGCCAGTTCAACAAGTACTTGATATATTCCTAGCTATCAAACAGTGTTGTCTCCTATCCTTCTAGTATCTCAGACAATTTTTCTGCTGTCATATCTTGAGCCAGCATTTCCATCATGCTGACGTTCTTTTTGAAGGTCTGATATACCCAATGCCTAAACTCACTAGCTATCATGCTGTCAATACCAAGCGACGCAAGACTAACTTCGGAGTTTAAATTCTCAACAGGCATCCATAGAAGCTTCGCTAGGCGTTCAACCACCATATCCAGGACCTTGCTCGCTCCATTGAGCCCACTCTTTCCACTGCCGTCATTCTGGCCCTTTCGTGTTGCGTGGATACCAATAACTCCCCAGCGCGCGTCTCTATCCCAGAGGGGCTCAGGCACATTCCCGGTGTCCACCAACGCTCCAAGTTTTGCGGGCTCTGTTCCAAGGGCGATGGGGTTCTCCAACCCCCATGCATCTGTTGGTTCCTGACGGAAGAGAGCGGTGCCAAACTGCTCCATTAACTCGTGACCGAGAGTCACGTAGTGTCCATTTCGCATCAAATGCATCATATTATGTTGATTGCGTGACATGAACCCCGCATCTCCAATAACTCCCAGGGCAATACTAGTCGCAGGCACACTTCGTTTTCGGAGATATCGGGCATATTCATCCATAAAGCAGTTAGCTGCTGAGTACGAAGCCTGAGTTGCTGCATGGGACACGCTGGTCAAGGAGCTAAGCATAACGAAAAAGTCTAGAGTCACCCCTAGCTCCTGTGCGACTTCGTAAAGGTAAATATTGCCCTCGATCTTTGGATGAAAAGTGTCGTGGACTTCTTCTGCCGTGAGTCGAGCAAAGTCTTTATTGCGAAGGACGAGAGCAGAATTGACGACACCACGAATGGGAAGTCCAGAGATTTCGAACGCCTTCTTGACATCTTCTTTCACGCACACGCTTCCTTGGACAGCGTGAACAACGGCGCCCATTTCTCGAAGGTGGTCTACCGTCTCCTGGGCCTCTCCTTCGACGGCCGATCGTGCAAGGAAAACAAGGTGTTTTGCGCCTTGTCGCACCATCCACCTGCTGAGGAAGCTTCCGATGCCCCGCAAGCCTCCAGCGATGAGATATGCTGCGTTAGGTTGGAATTCAACAGCACTGGGCTCAGGTACGAACGGAATAAGATCCTCCGGGTTGTATGACAAAGCCAGTTTTCCAGTATGTTGGAAGCGTGAAAACTCTGTATAGGCATTTGCGATCTCGGATATCGGATAACTTTTTACTGGCAATGGATCGATCTGCCGAGCTCTATACAGTGCACCAATTGTCTTCATCAGTCCTATCAGGATCTCTGGCTTCCGGTCGCACAAATAATGCATGTCCACGGCGATGAAAGTGACACCCTCGTTGAATTTTTTTAAACTGATATTGCCATTATCAACGATGTCATTCTTTTTCAGTTCAACAAATCGCCCAAACGGTGCTACCAGGGGCCAAGAAACCTCCCGGAAATAATCTCCCGATGCAGTATTAAGAACCAGATCAAACCCTTGGCCATTTGTTGCAGCTTTCAAATCTGTAAATGCCGAAATTTCTCGGGAGCTAAATATATGATCTGCCGCGATTCCCATATCTTCAAGGAGCTTTCGTTTGGCCACGGATCCCGCGGTGACATAAATATCAGCCCCATGGAAGCGTGCAATTGCGATAGCTGCCATTCCGAATCCTCCTGTGGCGCTCTGGATAAGCACAGTCTCGCCGGGTTGGATCCGGCCCACAGTCACCATCGCATACCAAGCCGTGCAGTATGCTGATGGTAGAGAGACAAGCTGCTCAAAAGTATCGTTCGTATCACGCGCTTTCTGACATACTGCGGCTGGAACGCGAGTAATATTGCCAAATTTTCCAGCATACATACCAAAGACCCTATCGCCGACCATCACATCCCTTACCCCATGGCCGATCTGAGTGACAATACCTGAAAATTCCGAACTGAGGTCGTCGGTATCGTACCCTCCAGTTAAAGCACTAAGCTCCTGTTTTTTGTAAGCTACTATTTGACTCATATGTCTTCCCTGGGATTGAGAGGTACTTACCACCATGTTCATGCCTACCGCTTTTACCTCTACTTCAACATATCCTGCTTTCAAGCTCTCTCGAAGAGAAGTATCAGGGCGGAAAACCAGGGCCGTCAGTCTACCCGGATCCGTAGTACCGATTTGTACTGGCCCTAGCTCTTTCAATGGTGTTGCGACTGCATTTTGGTCAATCCCTTGAGATCGGCCAAAGTCTTCAACGAGGCGTTCGTCTGGCAGCAATCTGGATACAAGCCATTTGCCATTCTGCTGCCGAAACTGTTTATCGATTTCTTTGGGTAGCAGACTTTCTCGGTAGAGGATTTCCCATGCCATATTCTCATCTCTAGCCGCCTTCTTCTCAAAGTCCATCGAAGCGACACGCATCTGCGGATTGATATCCAAGCATTGAAAGAAGCCGTTAATCAAGGACGCCTCAGGTTCGTCTCCTGCCATTAGACCGCCTTGAGTTACCCAAAGAATGCTCTCCGCCGTGCGCATCATTTTCTGGAACTCCGTCCATTCTTGATCTGCAATTTTGGACCAAATATATCTTTCAAGCTCTGCCAGAACTATTATGCGACCAGATCCCTCCCATTCTTCCGATTTTTCAAGCCCTTCGGCCACCAGACGTCTGTGTTGAACCGACAGTCCCTGTTCAATAGCCAGCTTTTCAATATGCCCAGACACTTGTGTGGGTTCCGAAAGATGAACAACCGTGATTGTTTGTTCGCGTTGTGGTTGAATTTCCTCTGCAGATGTTGTCATCGGCAATGCTGAGGCACTTAGCACAGTAAAACCGTGGTCTTCGGGGATATCATTGACGGATAGCTCCAATGAAGAGAAATGTGCCTTTGGGAATGCCTCTTCCCATTGATCTGGTGTCCAAAAAGGATGACGAGTCCGCCCTTCATCGTATCCCTTATAAAACCCTGGCAACAACCCCTAGGCAAAGTGTTAGCCCCTTCAAATCAAAAATATACTTCTGGGATGAAATACCATTGCGAATGTTTGGTCATGCCATTCAGCAGTGATTTCAGACAGAAGAATTTTTCCCCCGACCTTCAGGAGTTTTCGAATACTCTGCAGTGCATTTGTGATGTTTGCGGTAACGTGAACAGTGCAAGACGCAATGACCAAGTCGAAAGATTCCGCCTCATAACCTTGCTCCTCCGGATCTTTCTCCATGTCGTACAGCTTGTACTCGATATCCTCATACTGAGAAAACTTGTCACTAGCGTGAATGAAGAAGGACGTTGAAATATCAGTATAGTAATAACTGGAATATCTCTTTGTTCCGCCTTTGGTCAGTGCCTTCAAAACAAGCTCTGTTGCAGAACCAGTTCCTGCACCAATTTCGAGAATTCTCATATTCGGGTACTTGTAACCCAAAATTTCGATTGCTCGTTTAAACTTATCATAAATCAGCTGTGTTGCATAGAATTTACCCAGCATTTCATCGTTAGTGGCGATGTCGAGGACCGAAATTTCCCCACTGATGATGCGATGGAGGTTTTCATATAATGCCCATGTCCATTCCGTTCCTGGAGGGGCAAACGGACGCTCCTTTTCAATCTCGATATCTAATTCTTCTGGGTCCATGTGATATATACCGAGACATTCTTTTTTCATCCCTTCAAGTAACCAGTGGGCCCACTCGATAAAGTGTTTGTTTTCTACGTTTACAGGCTCAATGGTCATCAGCTCTGGGTATTTCTGGGAAAACCTCCTAATTGCCATCTGTACCAACCGGACTCTGCGTTTTCGTGGATAGTTGTATTGTTTAGGCCAATACTTTTCCTCCGGGAAGTATACTTCGTCGTTTCTTTTAGCGATGGCATTATAATCGTCGTCCCAAACCAAACGCCAAAATACTTCTCTCTTCGAGGGAATGACAGCATCACCAGATGCTGGGATGCCAACGAAACGCAAGCCCTGTAGGCTTATCATAACCTCATTGGTATCAGGGTTTCGAAGTTGAGCGCTACCGTGCATTCCTTTGAATCCAATATACCTACCGCTGGACTCCAGTTTAGCGTGATCATGTTCACCTCTCTTTTCGAGAATGGTTAATCGGCTGACGCCTACAGGGACGTATGCCTGGCTAGAGCTTGATTTGCCTGCGGCGAGCACGGATAGTTGGAGACAATTGTCCAACACTGTGGGATGCACAACATACTGGGATTCGAATTTCATTCCCGTCATTTCGGGTGTTGTCTCCGTAACCATATCCGCAGTCGCTCTGTGCTCTTTTGAGTCTAAAAAGATGTTGGAGATTCGTTTAAAGCTTGTACCAAAGACAAGACCTTTTGCCTTCGTGGCATCATCATACCAGTAGCTCTCTGGTATTCGCTGTCTGAATGGCAAAGCCGATTCTGACAAAACTGGTAACTTATGTTGTTTCGACTCGACCTGGTAGCTAATGCGACCCTTGGCATGTTCAGTCGAAATTCCATCTTTGACAGATGATACATTGAACTCCCACCAAATGTTTGACACTGTAGTGCTTCCCAGATGCTGTTTCTTCATTGTGAGGAAGATTTCAATCTCATTGTCCACCATCAGCGCTGTTCCGATGCTTACATCCTCAAGGACAAAGGCATCAGCATCATTTTCCTTGACTTGCCGTGCTGCTTCAACTGCCATAGACATGAAACCTGCAGCTGGGAAAATGTAGTGCTCGCCTACTTTGTGATCCATCAACCAAGGGACATTGTTCAGAGACAGAATATTTCGCCAAACATGGATGCTGAGAGCTGTCCCTGGAGTCTTAGAACCCAACAAATCATGACGTGCAAATGGCCTGAGTCTCATTTCTCGATCCGCCCGGTTCTCTGTCACGAATTTCATGGAGTGGTCCCAACCGTAAGATGGGAAATCCACTATGAACGATCCACCTCCGTTTACATGGTCAAGGTTGGCTTTAAAGCCGCTTAGGCAAAGCTCCGCGCACGCATTCAAAACTGTTTGAATACAATCTTCCCCACGTTTCATAGCGCCAATGTATTGGAAAGGTATTTTTAAGCTGGAAGCTTTGATGATATCGAGTATTGGCGATCTCAAAGTACTGTGGGGCCCGATTTCCAGTGCGTGTGTCATTCCAGCGTCTCGCATTTTAGAAATAGCGGGATGGAACAACACAGGGCTCTCCATATTCCTGCGCCAATACGACATGGGGATTTCCTTTTCAGTCCACAGAGAACCAAGGACAGTTGAAAAATATTGAGCCTTGATTTCAGGCCGCTGCTCATCCCTCTGCACGTTGTGGAGAGGAATGGTGTACGCCTCAGCTGCAGACTCCATGTGTGGAGAGTGATACGCCCTTCCCTTAGTTGCCAAAAGTCTGTTAAAAATCTTTCTGCTATCCATGTCTTCCTTAATTGCCGTGATAGCATCCGCATCGCCGCTTAGCGTAACACTTCTAGGTGAATTGATGGCGCCAATAACGACACTTTTGTTTAAAGGAACGATCTTCTCAGCTTCTTCACCAGATATTCCTACTGCCAACATGCCTCCAGGAGGCTGTGTAGTCTCCGAGACTGCACGTCCTCGGTAATATGCCACAGCAACAGCTTCTGCTCTTGTCAAATAACCAGCACAATACGCCGCAGCAATTTCTCCCGCGGAATGCCCTGCCACAATTGTGGGGTGAATATTCCAATCAGCCAAAAGGTCAATTAGTGCAATTTCGACAGCAATAGACATAATTTGAGCTACTCGTGGCTCGTCCATCTCCGCCGGGGTAAGTTCTGCCAATATCATTTCTTCCACAGTCCATGATGGAGCTAGTGGAAGACTTGAAAGTGCAAGATCTATCTTATGAACGCTCTCCTGGAAGACTGGGAATTTTAAGAGGTCTTTTCCCATTTGTGGCCATTGGGCTCCTTGGCCGGTGAAGATGAACCCGAGTTTAGTTTCTTTTGGGGTTTCGCCAGTGGTAAATTGAGGCTCGCACCCACTTTTGACAATTGCCACTGCTCGATGCGTGAATTTGGACCGTTTACCAAGGGTATGGGCAATATCTCCAGGTCGTCGGGTTATGACTTGCTCCTTGACAATCTGCGTCATATTTTCCAAAGAGTTACGGTTCTTCGCGCTGAAGAGGATTACCTTCGGTAGGTCGTCGACATCCAAGCCATTTTCATTAGGCTCTGATGATAGTGGTGTAGAGTATGTGCGACCTGAAGGTGAGTCTGCCCCATTCTCTGAAGCAATAGAACTTTCTTGGTTATCAAGTCGTACCCCTCCGATCAAAGGCCAAGGAATGGCTGCCTTAAGTAATGGGAGGACGGATTCGAGGGCTTCTAGGATGACATGGGCATTTGCTCCACCATATCCAAAAGAATTGACACTCGCCCGGCGAATCGGAATGTTCGCTGGCCAGGGTGAAGCATTTGTAACAATTTTGAGCTTCCATTCATCCAGTTTGATAGCCGGATTGACATTTTCCACACCAATGGTACCTGGTATAATTTTCTTTTGTATCGCTAAGGCCGTCTTGATCAGACTGGAGATGCCAGCGGCGGCCTCCGAGTGTCCGAGATTGGATTTCACTGACCCAATTAATAGAGGATCGTCTTGTACTCTTGTACTGGAAAAAACACTGCCAATGGAGTGTGTCTCGATTGGGTCACCCACTGGGGTTCCGGTTCCATGGCATTCAAAATAACCAGTTTGAGAAAGATCAGATATGCCGGCATTGGAATAGGCCTTGCGAATGACTTTGGCTTGTCCTGCGCTGTCTGGGTGAGTGAGGCCGACGCCAGTGCCATTGGCACCAATTGCAGTTCCCCTGATAACTGCTCTGATTGGCATGCCGGATCTAATTGCGTCGGACAGTCTCGCAACGTATATGGCGCCAAACCCGTCAGCACGGGCATAACCATCCGCACTAGAGTCAAAAGTATGACATTTGGATGTGGCGGAAATAGCACCCAGCCTTGAAGACATGAGGTGCCCTTCGACGCTTCGAATGGCATTTGCTGCGCAGACAAGGGCCCCAGTACAATCTCCGTTTTGCAAGCCCATGCATGCCAGATGCAGGGCGTATAGTGAGGATGAACAGGCTGTATCAAGAGTGAAACTGGGGCCCTTGAGGTCAAAAACGTAGCTGATACGGTTGCTAAGAATTGTACCACCAGTGCCTGTTGATGTGTATGGGCTCAGATACTCTGGGTCTCTTAGCGCCATCAATGCTTGATCTAGACCAAAATTTCCCACGTATACGCCTGTGTTGGAGCCTCGAAGCTGTTCCAAACTTAAGCCTGTGGACTCAAGAGCTTCAAAGGCTACCTCAAGGAGTTGCTTCTGTGCAGGGTCCATTGAGCCCGCCTCAACAGCACTGATACCGAAGAATGAGTTGTCGAAATTATCCACGTCATGTTGAACGAAAAAACCTCCTTTTGATACAATGCTTCCTGGCCGTACTCCCTCTGGGTGGTGCCACGCTTCCATATTCATTCTGTTTGATGGCATGTCACAATACCCAGACCTCCCATCCATGAGAAATTCCCAGAATTCACCGACGTTGTTTACGCCGCCGGGTAGCCGACATGCTAATTATGTTAGTGAATGCTATTAAAAGAAGCTATAGTACTTACCCGCGCCAACAATGGCTATAGGCTCCTGTCCTTCGTCTGACTTCATGTTGGATGACAGTGGTTATGATTGCATTTGTTGAATCAAATGATTTACAGATTTAGTGACAATCCGCCGTCCTTGTCTTCTCTTTATACATGCTTGGGACTGGAGAGCCAGCCGCCCTGATATTCGGATATCCAATACCATCGTATGCGTGATTTGACCCGCCTTCTGCTTCGACCGGGTTTCAGCAGACACGCTGGTATCTCAGAAATAAGCTACAATCCGCCTCGAATGGGCCATCGCATTAATGGGGCTGAACATTATGTTGGGTCCTGAAATAGTTTGCTCTTCATCGGTTATCCAGCTTCTATCCCTGCGAGAAATCGCAAAACTAGAAGTTACGGTTATTTCCTTACAATTACAATCACGTTCTAGATGAAACGGCGAAAAACCACGTTGGTACTGTACATACATACGTTCGTATTTCGCTTCCTCATACAGCCTCGTATCGTAACTTGGGTAGTACCGTCACAAATACCTATTGCCCAAAGAGGTGATAATGGCCGAAGAGTCATCCTACGCCATTTAGACCCTTTCTCGTGACCCATTCCGGCTCAGCCTATTCACTCCGTGTCTGCTGATTAGCGATCTGCATGTCTCCGTTGGGCTTTCGAATTTGGGGGCCATCATCAACGTGGTTGTTACGGGCTCTCAAGGATGGCACGGTCTGTGGAGTTGCAGAGAGCAGAGAGCGATCATGGTCGCCCACAATATCGCCAATAATTTACAGCGACTTGACCGACGCCTTAGGAATCTAGATCCTGCGCAGTTCGCACACAGCGGAAGCAGAAGGATCCGATCGGATAATTATCGAACGGGAGTGAATCCAGCAGAAATCCCCGTGCCATGTATGTATGCCGGATAAATTTACAATGCAGTGTTGCTCAAGCGGGGCTACCGGTAGAAGCCTTAGGCCTAGAATCATATGAAAGAAGGCTACAGAGACCTTCAGCTTGGGTCTCGATCCAAGTGGGAGGTTTCAAAGGGTTTAGTAGGTATGAAAGAACCACAAAGGTAGCATAAAATTTAAGAGTAAGATATTTCTGTAAATAACAGCACAAAGTGGTTCATAGCTCTAGATCTTATCTCACGCACTCATCTTCTTGAGTCTCATTTTGACCCGCAAATTCCGACGAGAATGTACAATTACACGGTCCAGTATTTCCATGTCTTTGGCAGTTCCCGGCAAAAGTTCAAGGTCGAATTTGGTGAGAATGTTCGCAATCACGATATAGGCTTCTGCGTATGCAAGGCTAAAGCGGGTTCGACGTGTTAGATAGCGATCCTAAAAGGGAAATAGAAGAATTCGCAATCATACTTCTTGCCAATACAGTCCCGAGCTCCTTTCGAGAAAGCGAGCATCCAGTGATCTAGCTCCTTGCCTTTTTGTCCCAGCCAGCGCTCCGGTTTGAATTCCAAGGGGTCTTCAAAAATCTTTGGGCTCGTATGGATAAGATTATGGCTAATGCCTACCACACACCCTTCCGGAATATAGTCATTGATTGCAGGCACAAAAAGACCACCTTTAGGAACAACACGGGTAAGACGTCCAGGAACGCCGTTGGTGTATCGAAGTGTCTCTTTGATAACTCCGGTCTGTCATAACACCTGTTATTCCTAAACCCGTAAGGCTGGTAGTGGAAGTCAATAACACTCACTAAATAAGGTAGAGCGTCGAGTTTTACAAGAGGTAGACGGCCATTCGCATCTCTCTCGACTGTAGCAATTTCTTCAAGCACCTTACGTCGTTTTTCAGGGAATAACAACATATAGTAGGTTGCAAAAGCAATGGTGGTTGCAGTAGTCTCAGTGCCGGCAACCAAAACTGAAGCGCCTTCGTCTGCCAGATCATGAAAACCAATAGGTCGGGATTGCTTTCCTAAGATCTCTCTCTTCACGTTATCATTAAGCATTCGATCAAATATATTTTCTTCACCCAACTCCTTTTCCTTCCCCCCATTGACTTTGTGGTCCTCGATTGCCTCCGCCGCAACAGTTTCACAGAACTAAAAATTGAGCGGGTGAGTATTATATCAATCTTATCTCAGTCTACTTACCCAGACAATTTTCATCCAGCCGGAAGCCACAACATTGGCAACGCTGCGGGGCATAGAAAGAATAATGTTTCGAACCAAGCTGATGTGGATTGAAACCCATATACTCGACGTAAAGGACCTGAGTTGAGCAATGCGATCTGCAGCAAAATTTGGGAGTTCGATCAGATTTAAACTCTTTCCAAAAAGATATCGTGATATCACATCACCCTACATATAATTAGCCTGCAAGTGTGAGTTTCACCATGTCAAACTCACAGTGTAACAATAGTAGGCATCTTGAATGGGCACTGGCTCGTTATTCTCAATAACTGGCAGAATTTTCTCAAACACCTTATCCATTTCTTCATACATTATATTCTCAAGCAGGTGTACCCGTCTTTTCGAAAAAGATGGGTTCAGAATCTCTCTTCGATGCTTATGCTTTTCTGGGTCAAGTGTCATACTCAAGGAATTTGGTGCTCCCAGCTTATAGGCGTACGGATCTTTGACAAACTGTGTTTGTTGCTTGTAGATACTGAGTGTTGATGTCAGTTTGCTATTTCGGCACAACTTGGCTCATTGGGTGGACTGACGTATGGTATACCTCGGGATCATTTATATGGACCTCATTTGGGTTTATTCGGATAACAGGCCCTATGTAGAAAGAGTTAGAGCAGAGTTATAGGATAGGCTGGGTGTTTTATTACCATATTTGGCATGTAATGCAGGAAGTCGTTCGAGCATTCGTCCATTCAATATCGCTTCATAGTAAATCTGGTATATCCAGGAGATTCGACAGAGAAATGGCCCAGGGAACTTCGAAAGTGGATGTAAAGTCAATCGGTATATCGCAACCGCGATCCAGTATGCGATATATATTGAAAAAAATGCCACAGTTAAAGCGATAGCATTGGAAGGCAGGGCAGCCGATTTCAGCAGCTCACTGACGAGAGACATGTTTCTTTGGTAAAACGAATATCAATCAGATTCGGTTCTTGAGATAATCATAAACGAATCGCCTATCCCACTGAGACTTAGAATGAGGGATGCCAATAGAGTCACAATTTATGAAATACACACACCCTACCTATGTGCAAGGGTGGACTCAGTCGATCAAGATATCCCTCGCAGCTCTAGCAACGGCATCTAAGATCGGTTCGATAGGTTTGATAACTCTAGGTCCGGTTCCTATTTCCTGTGAATTTGTCCTATATATTCTCAAAATTCACACCACTTTCTTATTCTGTAATACTATTTCCATCAGAATCTCATTTACAAAAACAACTCACTATTAGGTCGCAGACCGCTGTTCTGGTACGAGGCTGTGTATTGACTAGATGGCATCTCGTAAATATGCAAAGAGGTCAACATGAACATGACACAGTTGTCGAGCAAACGCAGCTTGAAACTGAAATTTCGTTTTTATCCGTATCCACCATGGTAAGTACACAAAGCCTGAGGATTTATGCAACCACATGGCCGTAATGCAGGCCAAACTTCGGCTACCAGGCTTTTTCTTTTTGAAAAAAAAGGCCCACCTTCCGGTTTGGAATTGAACTGCAACATATTCAGATACTAGAAGGTCACACAAAGGCCACCGGCGTTTGCTATATGCACTGATCTGCATGCATTGCCGCTTGAAATGGGGATTTAAAAGCCTTGGTATCAAAGCTGAGCGCGCGAGATTTCGTAGTCTAGCGTATGGAAGGATTCCAATGCATGTCACGGGCAACTGCCTCTTATCTGTTAGACTATTAGCTTCACTGCCGGCTCAGGATAGATACGAAGTAAAGGCTCCAGGCCAGACGGATCTTTGCGGGGTTAGGGGGCTGAATATCGGCCCCTCACCGGCATCCCGTGAATGTTGTCTCCGTTAATTTCTAGGTCGCAAGTGGGTGGAGCCGGGGTGCTAGGAGACAGGGAATCGCGGACTTTCCTGATCGTCGCTTCGTCGGTTCTTCGATACTCTGGCTTTACTGTCCTTAGCTGTTGGGCTTTAGAGGATGACCAAACTTTCACGAGCCGTTCTATAGCGCTAAAAATAGACGATGATCCAACCTGAATGATACGCAGTGGTAGAATAAGACGCGCCATCTTCAAAGTGTAGTTATTTAGACCAACACATAAGCGCTGTGGCGATTGGCCCGGCTGTTTCGACTGACTCCTGACAAGGAATATCCAGCTCGCGCATGCCCCTATACGTCTGTGCCTTATACCTATGATTAATCTTCCTTCGTGCATACCCACTTCCCCGGAACTCCTCTGGGCTCGTATTTTTTCAAAGTGAGACATAAAAGAGGACATTTTGGCAAGTGGCATGGCTGTTTCTTCCGCAGTTCCAATTCTATATTCTCGGAAAGCATGCCGGAAACCAACGCCGGGGCGGCATACTACCAACAACTTGCTCTCTTCCTCTACGATGTCTGGGTACTTTACCTTAGCTGCTCGTTTGCATGGCGCTGCTCAACCAAGTCAATCCTGCTCCCGTTCTTTCGAGCTAACGTCGGCCATCGTCATATCGATGTCGGCGTTGGCACTGGCTACCTCCCCTCTCAAGCCGGCGGGGCCATCTTATCATTAACCCTTGTCGATCTTAACCCAAATTGCCTATCGGAGGCAGTAAGTCGAATCCAGCAGGGGGACCACCGGCCACAGGAGGTTCAGTGTGTTTTGGCCAATGCGCTGCACAGGCCACTTCTTCATTCTACGCCAGAGCGCAGCCATGATTCCGTCTCGCTCATGTACTTGCTGCATACTCTCCCTGGCCCCCCAGAAAACAAACTGCAAGTTCTTCGCAATGTTAAACCGTACCTCAAGGATAATGGGGTGGTATTCGGCGCAACTGTTCTCGGATCTGGTGTGCAACATAACCTATTCGGTCAGCTGTTGATGTGGTTCTACAATAAGACAGGGATATTTGATAATTGGGCAGATGGGAAAGAGGATTTTGTGCGGCATCTCGCGGAGGAATTTGACAACGTCCAGGCCCATGTCATTGGCTGTGTCTTGCTGTTCACGGCAAGGGGTCCCAGAAATGCAGAGGGAAGCCGGTAGAACACGGGCCTGCATGTAGATACGGACAGAAGCCGTCTAGGCCTAGGGAGAGGTTGCGCGGTTCTTTACGGGGGAGGTTGAGATAAGCGATCTCGCGCCGCTTGTAGCCTAGGCGCATATTTACGGCTAGTATTAATGCCCTGATAATACACAATATACCTTACCACGCGACCTTCTGCTGTATTAGTTAGTTACATAACTAGTAATAATCACTAGCGCCACAACTCGACATTCCCTCAACCTTGCTGATTGCCTTCCTCCTCATCCCTAGCTTTGTCGTGACACATCTCGGTTTCTTTCTCAGCTTTCTGTTCTAACTTGTTTGTATCTGTTTACTGTTAGACTTGTTGGGTCGCTCTATCAGAGTGGCTCCACACTCACCAATGAAGAAGCTTGTGAGCAATGCTGCAGCAGAAAGCCCCATGTACACATAATACATTGGCCGAATGCTTGCTGCGTACGTCTGCTCTACTAACTGCTTCTGTGCTTCAGGCAATTGTTTAATCAATTCTACGCTTGCTGCTGCGCTGGCACCACTAAATTGATCGGCTCTCGGCCCAAGAGCTTCCCTCAGTGTTGATACCTTTTTCTGCATTTGGCTTTGAAATATCACGCCCCCGATAACAACGGATAACGCGGATCCGAGCTGACGCACGAATCCTAAGGTCGATGTTGAAATTGCGATATCTTGCGGCCTCACGACTCGTTGCAACGCAAGAACTGGCGAAAAGTAGTTTGGCCCGATGCCGATCCCCAATACTAGCTGATAGATGATCAACTTTGCCCAACTTGATCTCGTATCCAAATCGATGAGCAAACCAAGACCAAGTGTAGACAATACGACTCCAACCCAGATCGGCTCGACAACGCGGCCTGTCTTTTTGGTAAATCCACCGGCAAAGATCGAGGCAAACGACGAGGACAGAACGAGAGGAAGCACATACACTCCGGAGAGAATCGGAGTTGCAGCTCTAGCAGACTGAAAGAACAGTGGCAAATAGTAGAACGGCGCGATGAGGATTATCCCGTGCAGAAAACAGACCATGAGAATTGCTAGTGTCGACGGTTGCTGGAAAATATTAAGCGGGATAATTGGTCTTTTGCCTGGTATCTTTGTAACTCGCCACTCCATGAAAAGGAAGCCGACTATCAGCACAGCACCAAATACTATGAGGCAAATAACTGTTCCAGAATCCCATGGCTCGTTAATACCGCCGAATTGAAGACCAAGAAGCAGCATAACAGTCCCTCCGATGATCGCTAGCATGCCAAAATAATCAATTGATTTCAGGGATGTTATGAAATCCATTCTTTGGCTGTCGATTTTGAGGAACGCTAACAGCAATACAAACGCTATCGCGTCCAATGGCACTATCAGTCGTTAGCTGCACTCGTCATTATGGCAAAAGCAGAAACTGTCAGGAATACAATTAATGTAGAAACACCACCTCCAGGAGACATTCTGCGCAAACGCGCCTCCGATCAGCGGCCCAATGGCACCTGCCAATGCCCAAGATGCGCTCGTGATACCCAAGTACTTTGCACGCTCGCTATTGCGGTCAGAACAGCGACAACATGCAATATCCATAGAAGCAGTCATACGTACGCTATTGGGAAAAGATCACTAATGATGATATTCACCAAAATCACTAGCCCACTACCACCAATTCCTTGGATAGCCCTAGCTGCTATTAACATAGCGATGTTGATTGATAAGGCACAGATGAGTGACCCAAAAAAGAATAACGCATTGGCCAGTAAAATAGAAACCTTGCGACCCCATATGTCGCTGAGCTTGCCCCAGACGGGCAGCGCAGCGGTGACTGCTAATAGATAAGCCGAGCCAATCCATGCATACCCAGACCCGGAGCCTAAGTCTTCCGCGATTCGCGGAAGAGCCGTGGCCACGATTGTCTGAGAACATTTGGTATGATCAGTAAAGGTAACACTGTAACGGTGACTTCCGTACCCCATCTAAAGCCGCAAGGAAAACGGCAAGCTAGTGGCTTCGAGATTAGCATCACACCCAAACTTTGCAGATAGAAAGGCGTACATTCAATGCCACGACAACAAGCCCAGTGGTGCGATGCTTCTTTCCTGAATTCTTTAAAGGTAATGGAACTTGTCCCTCCTCAGAACGGGTTTCCTTTTCACAATTCGTCATTGTCATCAGGAATATTCGAACCTCCCGACAACTATTGCAACCAAGCAGGTTTTATTCAGAAATACCTTCTCTAATTTTCCATTTTGCAGCACACATTGCAGCCAAATCCTTATGGGTTGGGGAGTGGTTTACTGCTTTATATGTGCCGCGGGTTTTCAAATGGGTCCAAATGATGAACCCTGCAGATTCCCATCCCTGACTTTACCTGTCTACCCAATCTGCTTAAGCCCCAGCAAATTCATGCCGAGGCTAAGAACCTTAATCAACATCACAACTCTGCACCCGCAATCTGTTAAAGTTATGTGTAACTAATTCTTTACAACAATACTCGGTAATGGATTCAATTTTTCTAGTAAGTAAATTCTCCATTCCTTATTAATGAATAACTATATAAGCAGAGTACTGAGTAGTTTTTACGGTGAATCTTCTAACAGCACGACTCTAACTCCATGGGCCGGTGTTAGAACAATATTCGCTCGCAACACTCCACACTCTTTCTCTTCCATTTGTCGCTCTACTCGAGAGTATTTCTGGAAAATTTTCACCAGAGTATAAGCCATTTCTGCCAGGGCAAACTGCTGCCCTATGCAAATCCGAGGCCCGCCATTAAAGGGGATATACGTCCATGGCTTTGGGATCCATTGGCCAGTCTTGCAATCAACACCCTCCGGAAGGGCTGCGGTTGAGGCCCCGTTATCTCTTCCATTATAGATCCAACGCTCTGGCTCGAATTTGCTAGGGTCCGGAAATGGGCGTTTATCTGGGTAGGTCTCAGGGTACAGCCCCATTTGTCGCTGCATAGAAAGCGGAGAATATGCAATAAGAGTGTCTTTCTTTATCGAGATAGGAAGCTCTCCTCTAGGGCCCCCACCTCTCGGGAGCGTTGTATCTTTCAATGCGAGACGCATATTGTATGGAATGGCAGGGTACAGACGCAGGGTCTCTTTGAGAACTGCCTGAAGATATCGCATGCTTTTGAGATCGGTATGTGATGGCTGAGAGGCTGGACCAACTGTGGACAGTATCTCTCGGCGCAATCGCTGTACCATGCCCGGTTGTGCTGATAATTCATATATCACCCAAGATAGGCTGGCTGCAGTTGTGTCCCTAGCTGCTAGCAGTACTGAAACCAATTGGTCACGAATCATTTTTGGATCACGAGTGAATGTTGCAAGTGCAGTGAGAAAATTTGTTTCCTTTGATGATGCTGCCTCAAGCTCTTCTGGGAGCAGTGCCAGTGTTTTTGTGATGAATGGTTCAACAAAGGAATTGATTGTCTGAAGCCCTTGATTATATGCCTCCTTTGGAATAAAGGTTTGGAATGGCCTGGTTATGTCATAAGTCAGCTTCATTTAAGAAGAAATCTAGAGTGACAATTACCCAGCCATGGTGATCCAGCTTTGTATCTGCTGAACAGTTGCAAAAGCTTCTGTGAATTTATTGGTTGGATTATCCAAGCTGTTCACGCTGGATCCAAGCAGAAAGTCCGTTGCGATGTCCATTGTCAGCCGGAGAAAGAGATTGTGGACGTCGACAGGTTTACCCTCCAGTTTTGGTGAGCTCAAAATGGTTATCAGTTTCGAGGTATGCCTCTCAAATGTTGATAGATCAGAAACTCGATCCCTTGCAAACATGGGTCTGATTAAAGCACGACTTGAGTGCCATTGGTCGCCATCAGTCGTGAATATTGCGTCTCCCAAAAACGGCTTCCACTCCCGATGGAAATTCTCTCCTTTTCCATACTCGGCGAATTGAGTGGCAAGTATTGCCTTCACATTTTCTGGATCTCGGCTGATTATGATGGACTTAGAACCTATCTTCACTTCAAGGGTCTCAGAAGGATGGTGTTTCACAAAAAGCTCTTCCCAGAGAAGTAGGTTCTGATGTTTATAATTATAGATGATTGAGCGAGCGATATAATCGAGAGAAAGGGGGAGCCATGTGTGCACTCTTGGAGGAAACGAATTTGAGGACTGAAACCATATACTCCGGATGTATCGAAGAGATAAAGCAACGATGACGAAGGCAATGAACTGCACACTCCATGGTAGGGAGAAGAGGGAATACCCCTGGATGCGTAAAATCTCAGTCATTTTCTCGCTGGTGTTCCAAATCTTCTATTGCCAATTCCAAAAAGCAACCGCGCTGCTATTTACACCTTTACGAAGTGCCAAAGCTGTACGATTTGGGTTTGTTTTACTGTAAAAGCGTATACAGTATTTACATACGCTAAAACATACAGATACAGTACGTCTTGGTATGGTACTTAACTAGCGGTAAAGCGGTATTTTGATATCAATTCGCTGTACAACCAGAATGCAGCAAGCATCGAACGTTCGAACCGCCATGAGCTCCAGGGATTCCAATCTTTCAGGTGCACACAGAGCGAACGGGCGGATGGCTGCGATCCTCCGACCCAGCCACAACGCCCGAGCGCGAGGGATACTTACCAGGCCTGCCCCGTATCCCCGCAGGACCAACGCATGGTTCCTGCACCGCTATGAGACATACATTCGGAGCTGATAGCCAGAATTAGCAGGTCTTACATTCCCGGAAGCATACCCTTATTCATCCACTTACTTCACCGACTCTGTTATCGTTCCGCGATTTAAAGCATCTTCAAGGTTGTTTTACTGGCGCATCAAAGCCTATAACTAGCTATTTGTCAAACAGACCCCTCAGACCTCGTTTTCAGCATCAGCGATAAAGATTTGGTGAGTTTTATCGCCCAATTGGATACCACAGTTTTCTGTTGGCTCGGCTTTCGTGCGACCTGGCTCTTGGTGATTTCGTCTACATGCATGTCTGCCGATATGCAGACCAGCTATTGTGCAGCTATACGTAAGATTTACTCAGATCGATCATCTGACGGCTCTCCACGAATATCATTTGCCCGGAAAGTGGCTTGATTCTAGTGCGCTCCACGCTGGCCTCTAAGAGGTAATCCATATTTCTTCATCAGTTCCAATTATAAGTCAGTTTTAACGGGCTTGCATACTTGTGATGGTATCTCCTTGTCTCGTCTGCCAGCAAACACTGTATTTCCATGTCAAATATGCTAATTAAAGAGGAGGAGATTGTTAATCCAATTAACGGGAGCGTTCTTCCACACATTCTTTTGCCATTGAGCCAGCTCTTGTGTCTCTCCCTACCCCCTTTCAAAAACCGGTCGTTGATTTTTGTTCCGATTATCTCTGCACTCGCCTATGCTACCTACATTAATCACTATGAAAATTCCGTTGCTGGTCGGGCCATGTCTGGGGTTCATTGGACAGTGTTTGTCGGTACCCTGGATAGACTGATTTTCTGCAAGCCTGAACAGGATTTTTGGCGCTCAACAGAAAGTCCTCGCGAAGCACTCTCGATCCCCTCCCTATCTTTCTCAAAACTAAAATGGGCAACCGCAATGTGTTTGAATCTCCGTGGCATTGGGTGGAGCTATCAAATCTCAAGCATACCAGCCTCAAAAGCGCCGTCTACGAAATGGGCATTTCTCCGTTTCCAATCACTAAAGTATATTCGTTGCTATATAATAACTGATTTGATATTTCTCTATTTTACGAAGTTCCACTATGTGGAAGGGGTTAAACTGGCAAATACAACACTCCGCGCAGATAATTGGGCTATTTCATTCTTCAATGCATTCTTTGCTGGCTGCAAACTGTACTTTCCATTGCAAATGAATTATACACTGGCATCGATTCTTGCTGTTTTTCTCGGTTTATCCGAACCAAAGGTACTGTTGTCGGCTTGGGAAACCAGCATTTAATTTCGCTAATGATCTGCTAGGACTGGCCACCATTATTCGGTGATATTAGTAAAGTGACAACGGTTCGATATTTTTGGGGGACATACTGGCAGCAGCTGCTAAGAACTGTGAGCCTTTTTTATCTCAAAGTAGTGATAATCTGCATTAATAACGGCTTATTAGATGTTCACTGGATGGGGAAACGGACTAGCTAGGCTGCTGGGACTTCCTCCACATACCAACATATCCTCGTATTTCAAGCTCTACGTTGCCTTCGCGATATCCGGACTGTTCCACGCTCTGATGACTTATACGATGCCTTCGACAGCACAACATACGTTCGACGACCGCTTCCTGCTGGTGTTTAAAGGCTTCTTCATCCAAGCTTTCATAGTCCATATTGAAGATATCATCCTATGGGCATACAGAAAACTGACGGGAGATACACATGGTGAACGGGGCAAAACAAGCGCAGATAAAAAACGAAAAATGTGGAAGACGCTTTTGGGTTATATCTGGGTCACAGCATGTATCTGGTATTCTTTGCAGTTGGTTGGAGACGGCTACTTAAAGACTGGAATAACTCTCACGAGCGACGTTCCTGCTCCGTTTATGGAAAAGATGTTCCATTATTTGACCAGAATTATGTTTAAATAACGAAGGAAGTGGTGTCTGCGTTCTTAGGTAGGCCATCAGTGAACCATAGTGAGAAAATATTGGGCAGAAGTGGAGTGTCTCTGTTGTGGCTCTTTGGTCTTGGCTCGCAACGAGATTCCTAAGAATTAATTCCAGGACAATTGGGCCTCGTGTTAAATGAACATTGTGATAAATATGCTAGGAAATGCTAGCATGGGGCCGACTGTTGCTGGGGTGGCTGGTGAGGTACAAATATGCCCCAACTCCAGTATGCAGAATCGTTATATCCAAATGAGAATGTTATTGTATAAAGAAGTTCAACCCCATAGTTCAAGAAGTATAGTTTGGTAGCCCAGCATTAAAGCTTTTCTATCGATCCCTCGGGCTCACCTGAGATCCGGTCCTTTACCCACCGAATTTCCTGGACGAGGATATCTGGCCGCACCAAATGAACGTGATGTCCACAGTCTGGGATATGAACCAATCGGCTATTGAAGGAGAGTAAAAGTTGCTCCTCTTTCATTTCACGATCAACATCTTCCCATTTGTTAAGCATTTGTCGAAATGCTTCTCGTTGTTCCTCGGTACCATTGCCCGCTTCTATGCCCTTTTCATAGATGCGCTGGTAATCTCGAGAGCTGTTAGCTCGAATTACACTTAGAGGCTTAGCGCCTAACGCTTTTCTTTTGTATTGCTCTTTTCTCCTCAGAGCCTTGCAGACCTCCGCAAAAGAACTTGCTTCTGCCTGCCACGCTGCTGCCCCACGAGAAATATCCGCGGCTCTTGTCCGCCACTCTTCGCGGGAGAGTTTCGAATCCGTCTTGAGGCCAGTTACCTGTGCATAATTGAGGTTGCCCATCACTCCACTGATGTCTGGATCCGGGATCCTGAAAAAATCACTCTGTCTTTCCGTTGCAGCTTCAAATAGTACCATACCGGCGACATTGTCTGGGTACAAATGAAGGTATTCGCGTGCAACGATCGCACCATAGGAATGGCCGACCAGAAGTAGCGGAGGGGATATTTGTGCCTGTATCAGTAGCATATGTAGTTCCGAGGCTGCTATACTGGCGGTATATTGGTTAGGCCCGCCTTCACTACGGCCTAGGCCTGAGCGATCGTAAAGCAGTATACGCGCGAATGAGCAAACAAGACGCTCAACCACGACATACGACGAAGCAACGTCTCCAGCGCCAGCTAAAACAACCACGATTGGGTCCAGCGGCGTACGGCTGGGGCCTGTCACAGAGATGAACAGTTTGTGGGTACCGATGGAAACCATCGAGCAGCCCGAGATAATAGCCCGATCTTGCGATGGATCCATTGTAGCTGAAAATACAGGTAATAAGGGCAGGGCCAGACAGCCTGAGCGTTAAACCATCACTACTGAAACATTTCAAGAACGGTTGAGGTGGTTGTTCACAAAGGCCTCGTCGCGTGTTTCTTTAGACCTCGCGCTAGTGGGCGGCGGTGTAGACCACGGTATGTTTGTCTTATCGCCCAAACAGTGACAAAGCCGAGGAAAGCTGGCCAAGAGCGCTTCAAAAGGGCGTCATATTCCTACCCTCTTGATTTCCGCAGCTGCTGGACCAACCGGTTCATTTTCTTCCGGTTCATTCATTTTACCGTGCCTAAGATCCGGCGTGTGCTTGCCCAGATGTTTCATTATTAACTACCTTACCTACGCCTGATCGCCAACCTTTTCCCCTACATACCTCGAGTGTCGCAAGAGATCGACCCTATTGTCCTATCGTTAATCCTGGTTGACGAGACTTATATCATGGCAGCCACTCAGAATAACAGCAATCCTATCAGTGCTGGTAAGCTTACCATCATTCCGCGCTAAGTTACTGCGTTTCTGATATTACTTTTCAGATGAAATTGCCCTCTATGATCGTCAGATCCGCCTATGGGGTTTGAAGGCTCAAGAGAGGTGACTTGGCTTCCATGGCATGATCATGGGATGCTCTAACATCTCTAGATAGAATTCGAACATCCAAGATTCTGTTGATCTCGATAAAAGCACTGGGCAACGAAATAGCCAAGAATCTCGTTCTAGCAGGTATCGGGTCTTTGACTATCCTTGATGATCAAATTGTTTGCGAAGAAGATCTTGGTGCGCAGTTTTTCCTTTCAGCGGACGACATTGGAAAATATGTAGGAATCCTTGCCGAGGGAAGCACGCATTATATCGCTGACTCAATTTCCAGCGTGTCATCGCAGCGAGCCAACAAATAAAGCAGATGAATCCCCGAGTGCATGTAGAAGCCGACTCATCAGACGCGGGAACAAAAAGCCCTGAATACTTTTCTCGCTTTGATATCATCATCGCAACGGATATGCGCTTTGAAGCTTTTGCAACCATTAATGCAGCATGTCGGGTTGCTAACCGACCATGCTACGTGGCTGGTAGCCATGGACTATATGGCTTCATCTTCGCAGATCTGATAAGACATGAATTTGTGATCGAGCGTGAGAAATCAAACATGGCCCCACAGTCCCAGGAGACAATGACCCGTGTTGTGCTCCATGTGACAAGAAAAGTAGAAAAGGACAGGGTTATTGAGACGGTGACTAAAAGGGAGACCTACACACCCCTCCTCCTCGCCAATACTTCTCCACTCCCCGACGAGTTTACAAAAGTTGCTCGAAAGCGACGCCAGGTCACTCCTGTATTAACGTGCATTCGGGCATTGTGGGAATTTCAGCGACTGAGAGCTGGATGGTTCCCCTCCTTTTCTCGAGAGGACTTAGAGCTTTTTACTCGGCTGGCCAACGAGTGCCATCTAGAACTGAAATTAGACCCTTCGACTCTCACCGCTGAATTTCTGAGAAGTTTTATCTCCAATATTGGAACCGAGATTAACCCAGTAGTGGCGTTTTTGGGGGGATATTTAGCCCAGGATGCTATTAATTTGCTAAGTGCCCGCGAGCAACCTCTTCAAAATTTTCTATTTTTCGACGGCGACAAAAATATTTCTCCAATCTACTCGTTGCACCCGTTCTTTCCAAGTCCCGATGAAAAAAAGACCTTGGCGGGTAGCGGGCAGGGATCACAGGAGAGCATGGGTTTAGGATAAACGGCTATTTGCTAACGAGAACTGTGGCACCTATTCGCTCATTATGCGACGCAATGAGGGCCGCAAGAAAATTTTAAAAGAAGCCCGAAGGTTTGCCGCCATATTCGACTGTATTAGAGGCAAATGTAGGTAGAATAAATCTTCCAAGAACAGCCAGAGTCGTCCACGGGTATAATAGGAACTCCTGCCAACTATCGGTGTAGATATTGGACTTAGCTTCCCTACACATCGTGGGTTGTATGTATATCAGGTCATGCGCCGAGCATCGGAAACAGCGATATCTAATGATACGCAACAAAGAAACGCATGCGTTGCTGTACTTGGAATGAAAATTTTTCCTTGGACAATCCACAAGGCTTGCATGGGAGCTTGAGTGGTCCCTGAAACCCTGCATCCCATATCCTTGCCGTAGATCTAGACGCCAGCTCCGAAGCGCCTCAAGCTAATTCCGACCCCTGGCTTGGCCTCGGAGTTCATGATTTCCATTCCGACAGGCCAAAAGTGACTGATTTAGGCCAAAGGATGGGTCTCGCCACTTTTCGCGAAGAATCCATCGCCCATGGTGCCCTGGTTGATTGGATGGCGTTCGCCGGTTCGCGAGGAACACCAGCTGACATCGGAAGGTTTTACGTATTGAGCATCCTGGACCTGAAAAACTTGAGCTGCATCCAGACAGGGGTTTGGATTCTAGAGCTTTCACCCAGTACTCAAGGCAGAGCAATATCTGGCAGGATGAACAATATAAATAGGATGAGAAGAGCCCGTCAAATCTGCTCTGACTCGACAACCAAGACAAAAATCCAAGCAAGCACAACATAAAGGAACAACTGCATTCTCATACACAGATCAGCTCAAGCATCACTGGTCAGTGCTGTTAACTACCTTTTGCCCCAAAGCATCAACTAAATAGTTACCTAGTCTATCGGTCATCCTTTCAGACAGACAACACCATGGCCTCCAACGCTACCGACTTCAAGATCTTCAGTGCCTGCCTTACGCCAGACACCCTCAACAGTGCTGCCTCCTCCGCCAACCCAAGCAGGCGGACTAGTGCAGCAGCTACCGCTCCCTCCTCTGCCAATCCAAGCCGAAGACCAAGTGCAGCCGGCAATTCATCGCCAGCATCCAGCACAAACAAGCACAAGCAGCACACAGACGCCACCCAATTCGAAAGTCGTGCAGTTTACTTCTCGATGCTCCAGCGTTGATTCGATGAAACTGCTTTTGCACAAAAAAGGATACTCAAACGTTGAACTTGGTGTGTCATCATGAGGCGTGATTTAACTTTTTAGCCTTGGCTGACTAACCAATGGTAGTTGCAGTGGCTGAGCACGGAGCTTCCCGCGGGATGACGTCATGACTCTTAGACTAAAATTAATCGGAAAAAACGGCATTGGGTTCAGGCGCAACGGGTTATGAAAAAAACTAATGGCATGTTGTGGTTCGGGGCTCTACCCGTATCAAAGATATAATTATGGCAGCGCGGCTTTCTACATCTAAATTTCATTAGAGAATGGCAGCGTATTCACGTCAATACAATATGAATATTAATATTTTTGAAGCAAATGAGCATTATTGCTATGCCGCCATAATTGAGTCTGAGTTGCAGATAGGAAGATAAAAAAAGGCGATCAAATAATTATTACTTTGTATGTCACAGCAGTCAAGCATGTACAATCAATTGAAAGAAAATCTGAAAAGAGTCAAAGTACCAGTCAAATAATACAATCATTACGCCGCTTTTCTTCCCAAGATATCGCCGCCATATTAGACCCACCCCACTCCGATTCCCATGCTGCCTTGAATACCAAAATGTCTCTCTTGTCATGATAATTTTGAAGGCTTAGACTTCTGGCTTCGGAGGAACAGGAGGAGGCATGGATGTAGTTGGGCTATCCGGATCAGTCGCACCCATCAATCCTTCCAGCTCGAACTCTTGGGCATCACGAATATGCTGGGCATCATGGTGCGGGCGAGTATATCCACTTACTTGCTCAAGCTGGCGTTGTAGCTGATTCAAGTTAAATGCGGTGGGATATTGATACTGCGGAGGTCGCGAGTGCCTGGCAGCAGCAATGCGGACGCTTCTCTCATACTTCGCTGTATCAGGAAATGCTTTAACTCCATAAATATGAAGAAGGATATTGACAACTGCGCACTGCGTTAGCACTCTGATTGATGTTTGAGAAAGCGGGGATCAATACATAAGAACATAAGGCATGCCACGCTATACAATACGAGAATATACGAGACATGATCAATTCCAGCACTGTCTAAAAGCAGCATTTGCTCTTCGGTTGCCCCCATAAAGAGAAACCCCGAAGCATAAAGAAGCTAAAACGGATGTAAGTGTCCAATGCAAGGTAAAAGGGTTCAAGTTTATAACTTACAAAAGGAGTAAGGTACTGGAAACTGCTGGCTTCAGTACCGTCATGGCTGAAAGCGTCTCGATCATTTAACACAAAGCATATTTCAACTATTCGAGCAACACCAGCGGCCATAAGTGTGTATCCAAAAACAGAGTGAAGTTTTGCGCTGATTGGAAGGTGCTGTGGGTGTGACGACATTGCATAGCCAGTCAAAAGAATGACAATGGCCGGGAAAATATTTCTTCTGGGTCTTCCATTTCGTTTTCTGCTGAGGAAAAGGCCCAAGAGACCAGCGCACCACCATATGATGCCCATTGATGTATGTTGCATGTCGTTGTGTCCCCAGGGCTCGCCCCATCGATGTTCTGTAAAAGTGTTAATACAGCCCCATAACGTGATGACAATAGAATCAAAGAATTCTTGACTGCGGCCTGTACTGCGAAGCCAAACTTGCCCAACAAGTAAAAGAATTGTCAGCAAGATGCCATATGCAATGAAGGCGCTTCCCATAATAAAATGAGCAAGACATTGCCCCAAATGATCATCGTGGCAGAAACCCAACGCAGTTATGCCACCAAATAGCATTTGAATCCAAGTGACAAGAGGCATAATTTTGCCGATGACACCATGCACAGTGACAATGTAATAGCGAAGTTTGCCATGAATTCCTTTTGTGAGATGAAGTCTTAAATATATGCCCAAAACTATTTGGCAAATGAGCATAAGCATTAGCGAATTTGCATAAAGGGCATGGATATTCGGTGCGAATTGGCGACCCTTGTGCAAGTGGCCGAGGAAATAGGCGAGGAAGGCAACGATTGTACCAACGACCTGGACAGGGACGTGCCAGCGAGATCTAGTAATCTGAGAAAAGGTTAATCATTAGCTATGACTAGAAAATATCAATTCAAACGCACGTATGTACTTACACCAAGAACCATTCCAGTGGGTAAAATCAACCCAAAGGCAACAATCATCAGGACGATATGAATCCACAAAATCGAATCCTGTGACGAGGAAATACGCGTAAGCACCTCAGTCTCAGATTATCTAGGGAAGATTTCTAGCTCACCAGGGGTTCGACAGAGATGAACTGGCCTTCCGGCAAGGCATGGTGATTCCCATGGCCGAGAACAGCCTTTGTTGACAATGCGACAAGCACAGCCAAAAGACTAAAGGTACCCATCTCTTTTATCGGCTAAAAAGCCACTGAGGAAAAGGATTTATATAGGAGTCTAGACTGAGGGATTTGGCAGGAATCGAGCAAAGGATCTCAGGAGATTCTCAGGGTCAAAAGGCGTTTGATGTTGGTGGAAGAAGAGAGGAAACACATCAGGAAAATTCTTCTAAGTGAAATCTAACACGTATCTGGTTTCCATAGCCAGATGAGCTGGTATATAATACGGCGTAACATGCCTTTCTCAGTGTATGCAAACAAATGAACGCAACAGCCTGCATCGCCGAGCGAACACGAACAGGTGAGGAGATGAGAGTGCATGTAAGTGCAATTAGTCAGCCCGCGCCAAGCTGGTCCGTGGCTGGTGGAAGCTTTAGCCTTGCGCCAAATGGGGGAACCGCCATTACACAGCATCGTTGTCGCGCGCTGTGCCGAGCGTCTCAGCCAAAGGGGAGCTTGGGAGCTTCAGAATGTCCGTCCAAAGCGAAAGTTGTGGTGATGTTCAAGGAGCATGCACCCCGGATCCTGCGAGTCCGTGCTTAGAGTTGAGCGCTCCACCTCCAGTGCTTGACCTTACTCCACAACAGAAAAGGAAGATTGTCAGTTGCCCAACGTACTGAATTTGTCACCTGCATGTGGGAATGAAACTAATCCGTTCTACCGTTACAACGTCATAGAGTTCCCTTGAAGCCAGCATATCCAAAGTTCATTCTCAAATATCACATACAGAAAAGCTTCTTCGGGAGGCTGAAGCCAAGTACAAGTACTATCCACTCTTCTGCAAATCGCTTCCATTCTGGGAAAAGAGCCGTTGCCCCTGACGTTGTTCTCTACAGCTCAGGTTACCCGGCGAATATTCAAGCTCCTGACCCTGCCATCATAGTGAAACGCCATATTCGCCTACTTCATGAATACAACGAAATTAAGGATGTCGCACAGGGTCTACTGGGATTGATTGCGGAGGCCCGCGGAGTGAGACATGTTGAAGTGCAAAAGGAGTTCGGTGTTGGTGGGAACGATTGAGGCAAAGGGGACTCGAAGTATTTGATCAGAACCTCTAGAGTAGAAGCCAAAAACGCCCCCAAAATTTCGCAAGACGGCGAATATAATATGGGTATAAGTTTCAAACCAAAATCAAGGAACATGTTCGAGAATATGGAGTATAGAGTTCCAAAGAAATGAAAAGTGATTCTTAAATCAGACGCAAAAGCCTCTTTGTTGGTAAGAAAGGCATGTCCACAAATTCAAACAAAAGGCCACACAATCTGACTTTATAATGTTGAAATGCAAGTATGTCGTCTAATTTCCAAGGAAAATTAACCTCCAACAAGGGAAATACACTCTTCAACTGCATCTTCAAGCTCAGAAATCCGTGTTTTTAGCACACGGTTCTCCTGCTGTAGAATGGCTGCAACGTGGCCAGGATCTGGCAGCTTAGCTCCGTGGCAGTTAGGGCACTTGGATGCAGTTAGGCCAGTCAAGGATGAACCTGCGGCGGTGATGCCTTTGAGAACTCTGTCGTAGGCTGATGGTCGTGTTTGAGTGACAGTCTGGGGTTTCATTGCCGATGGCAGATGCGCTGATTGAGTGGCTATCAACGGGGGGGCCGGATATTCCGAATTTGTTGAAACAATCGAAGCTGGCCGTGTTGGGGTCGTATCTTCACTGCGTTTTGAGAATATACTCTCTGCAATGCTTTCATCTGCAGATTCGAACCCTGAATCGCCGCTCGCGGACGCACCACTTGATAATTGTTTAGTATGTCTATTCGGAAGACTAGTTGCAACCCCAGTTGAATTGTTGAAGCTGTCATAGCCATTAACAATTGTAGCACTGCGTCGACGTGTCTCATCTTCCTGCTGTCGTTTCTGTCTTTCCAATTTCAATTCTTCTGCCAAAGCCTTCATTTCCTGGTCTTGTTCCACAACCCTAGCAGCCATTCCATCCAATTGATATTTCATATTGTAAAGGCGGGATTGAGTCTCCTCTAACTCCTCTTTCTGCTGCACCTTCTCTGCGAGTGCTTGGTGCAGAGCGAAAGTGCGTAACTTGTAGGCGCCCTGCAATTGGCGAACCAATGCTTCGGCGTTGCGCTGAAAGTCAATAAGCTCTTCTTCTGTAGAAACATTCGGCCCTCTAGCGCCAAAGAGAGAAGCATTAATGTCAAGATTTAAAAGTTCATCATCAGCAGGTTCTGGCATAGTATGTGGTTGTTCCCTCTGTGATTTCCCACTAAAGAAGGAAAACAGGTTCGAATAGGCGAGATTTTTTAGTGGAGATGAGGCTGCCATTTTTGTCGGAGACAAAGAGCGACTGCGAGCCATGGGTGATACCTCAAATGTTGAGTCTTTGTCTGAAGGTGCTATTCCAAGGCGAATAGGTGCAGACTCTCCATGAAACAGTCCATTTAAGAAACCGTTCCCAGCAGCTTTTGAGTCAATCTGTCCCTGGACAACCCGGGAGTGTAGGTGGACAGGAGGGTCGGACAATCTCAAAGTGTTTCCAGTAGGTGTCAAAACTTCCGTTCTTGTTCGGCGGTGCGTGGGTACAAACGGCGGTATGGAGGCTTTTGGATTGCTAAGTAATAGCGGAGGGGGAGGAGATTTTTTGGTCGGTGATGCTAGTCGAGGTGCGTCGAACGGAGATGCTTTCGAGGGTGGGCTTAGCGAGGTAATGTTCTGCACCCTCGATGAATCGAAAGAATCAACCAGCTGTTCAGTCTTATGCTCTGCCACTGGGCTATCAAGCCAAACTCGTGGCGGTTTTGTGGGCGTCAAATCCGTGGGGCTTAAGGCATTTAACTTGCCAACCTCCTCATTCCACGTAGCCATGAGTAGCCTCCAATCAGCCGAGCAACGCCAAAAACGGCTTTTCACAACGAACTTGCAGGTTCTCTCGAAGTAGCTGACTCTAAAGGTAGGTTGGGAGAAGACGTGCTAAGATGATTATCAGTATATTCGCAACGCATAGGCGAATAGTCTTGTCCATGCATTTGGCCGCTCCTGCGAAGTCTCAAAACGAGCTCATTGCCCACATTTAAGGCAAGGTAAAGGCCGCGTCAAGTGGCCTCAGAAGCTAAAACGAGCGAAAATCAATGCAAAAAAAATCAAAAACAAAGGAAGTTTCGCATCTGCATGTGTGCTGCGAAGCTCGAAACCAACCAGCGTGGTCGTGCGTTGCGAGTCCAACAACCCCTGGTAAATATGTGGCTGGTCACCAGCCACAGAACTACGATTAGTCATTTAGTTAACTAACTAACTACGCCACATCCCAGATCTCCTGAGCTGACAGCGCGCTTGGCACAAGAGTCCGCGATGCGCGCAAGACAGGCTTTAGTGCAAGAATATTCATACCACATCCCAGTACCCAGTCCACAACTTCAGGCGTGATGGCAAGATAGCCACGCTGCCCAGCTTGCTTGACACTCCAATCACGCTTCTTCAATCCCTCCCTACCCTTCTGCAATCAACTGAGCTCATGCTGCCCAGACCTACACAAACCAGATCTACATAGGTATCAAAGCGTTCCCGCCTAAGCCTGGTGGCCAGCGGCCTGATCAAGGCTCCCGAGAACAGACTTCAACCGGTCCGAAGAGGAGCTGACCTGTGCCCGTTCCATATCCCGGTCCACTTTCTCCGCCTCGCCAAGAGGACACTGTGGCTCGCTGGGCGGTGCCTTGGAAGATACCAAAAAGTCTTGTCAAATACAGCGCCGTTTGTCTCCGATCCGTAGTGTCTTCACTCACGGCGTTAATGAGTGTTTCCTGATGCTACGTTAACTGATTCAGCGTTGAACCCGAGTTCTGGTCAATTGACCGGAACAGCTACGGCTTCCAGGCACTATGGGTGCCACCAGCATATCTGGGACGTGCATCCATTGTTTACATGTTTTGCAAGGTGTCCCACCTATATATTTGATTGGTTTTCTTCTTTGCACACTGACTGGGCTTCTGATTCTGGTATGAAACGTGCGATTTTTACATCCCGATCGCATTTAGCTAACCGAACCCTATTGCTTAGGGTTATGTCTTCGTCTTCCTCCTTGCACCAGTCCCGAGATTCCCGTTTCCCGAAGAGAAGAACTATCAAACTATCTTGGCTGATGGATCTATCACGCCGCCCACATCCCTTCCTTGCTGGTGCGACAATCTGCACGCAAAGCCAAAGATACCAGAAGATGCCGAGCTTTTCCTATCTGTAGTTGTTCCCGCGTATAACGAAGAAAAAAGGCTACCAGGTATGCTAGAAGAAGCAGTCAATTATCTCGAGCGGACATACGGGACATCGGTGCTACCTAAGACAAACGGTGCAGAGAACGAAAAGGAGTATAAACTGGACGGGGTGGGAACGACACGTAAACGTAATTTAAACGGTGCTGGGACTCCAAAGACCCAGTCTATGTCTATGAGAGGATGGGAAATAATCATAGTATCCGACGGGTCGACAGATAGAACCATTGAGACCGCGTTGGCATTTTCAAGAGATCACCAACTATCCTCCCACCCAAAAGGCCATGCGGGGCCGTGGACCCCAACCTCTGGGGAAGGCGCACGCATTCCACCCGGGACAATCCGAGTAGTCAAGCTCACGCAAAATAGAGGGAAAGGAGGAGCAGTAACTCATGGGATGAGACATGTGAGAGGCCAGTATGTTGTCTTCGCTGATGCCGATGGCGCCAGCAATTTTAACGACCTCGGAAACTTGGTCAAGGCTTGTCAAGAAGTTGAAGATTCGTCACTGCGAGGGATTGCCGTGGGATCCCGGGCGCACCTGGTAGGAAGTGATCTGGTGGTCAAGGTATGTGAATATTCCCATACCTCCAGCTGTCCGACTGACTGACTGACTTCGTTGACAGCGTTCCAAGCTCCGAAATTTTCTAATGCATGCCTTCCACCTTACAATTCGTCTACTTACGCCTCCACAAACAGCCCGCATAAAAGACACACAGTGTGGATTTAAACTTTTTTCCCGTGCTACTCTACCTTTCATTATTCCCCATATGCACTCCGAAGGCTGGATCTTTGATGTGGAAATGCTTATGTTAGCGGAATTTTCCCGTATTCCAGTCGTGGAAGTTCCCATAGGCTGGAGGGAAGTAACAGGCAGCAAACTCAACGTCATTTGGGATAGCATTGGCATGGCATGGGGCTTGGCGATGCTGAGGGCTGCATGGGGTTTGGGAGTCTACAAAAGAGCTATGTAGGATAATACTTCTGGCTCAAGGCTATACTTACTGAAGAGAGATAAACTGCTCCCTTCCCATATCCAGTGTCGGATACAAGTACGGAGGATGTACCAACCATTACCTTGTGCGCCTATATATTCCCTATGTGGTCACTGGCCAACATGTCTGGTATTTTTATAAAATTTAAATGTCATCTAGTATAGCTTGTTTCACAAAATTTACGCCATCAACAACAATTCAACGTGCATATTTTCCATATACAGTGGCACGTTGACAGGCAGTGTAATATTGAATCAGGGCGCCTGGGTCTGCTCTTAACTGTTTAAGCATAAGAGACAAGTAATATGGTGAAGCATAGGCTATTGCCATGGTAGTTTCATTCGGAATTCTCCATACGCTACCGAAAGGACCTTGCGCGCAGAACACCATTTGCCTCTCAACGCCTCAATACTAGCCTTTCGTGACGACAATGTTTTATATATAGCTTTAACAGCATTTATTGAAGTAATAAAATATATGACACCATTCCAAAACCCTTGAAGTGGTAAACCAATAGCGGCAGCCATAAGCAGTCCATATTTAGGGTGATCAGGGTGAAGATATATATATACCCGATTTGATGTGGCTGGTATCTGTAATATGAATAGTAAGCATTTGCAAGTAAAGCATTTCGTGAACGGCAACTCCATACCCATGTCACAATCAATGATACAAAATATATTGATGCAAATTTAGCATAAGCTCGAGCACCTTTTCTTTTATCAGAAGCCTTTCGGTGAATCTCATATTTTGTTTCAGGTTGAGTAAGCTGGTTCGTTATAAGTTCAGGGGGTACGTTCATCTCTCTTTCACGGTCAGCGATAGTCCTTGTCTCCGAAGGCCGCCGTCTCCTCATTTCCGTCAGCTCTAGTAAGGATCCCAGGCTCACATCATCTCGGTCCTGAAGAGGTACCTCAGGGTGATTCTGAGTCGGCTGGTCCATAGTAGACTGAGAAGATCCCCCAACATCAGTAATTCTCGAATGAGCTGAAACACGGTTAGATCCACTCTGCTGGTATTGTTGGCTTTGTAAAGAGGATTCGCGGACTTGGCGTGAAGATTCTGCGGCGAAAATATTTTCATTAAATGATGCTGGGTACTGTTCATGGCTTGCTTCAGTATTCTCAGGAGAGCCCTGATTTTGAGTTATCGATGGGGGTCCAGAGGCCAGGTTAGCCTCCTGGTGATTTTTTTGGATACGTCCCGCTTGTTGATCGTCAGGTAGTTGTAGGTCAACCGACGCATCCCATGGAGTAGAATCCGAAATTAGTTGATCGGATATGGAAATGCTTTTCAGTCGCCTTTCCTGAACAATAATTTTGATGCCAGCAGCAGTATATACGGATAATGTAAAGAGAATCGAGAACCAAACGGGACCATAGTATACGCTAAGGCGCAGGAACCCCCATGGGCGGCCAATCCAACACCAAAACTAGAAAATATTAGTTAAAGAAAGAGAATTCAGAATTTAATATTCCTACAATGGCATCTCCATATATCCTTCCCCTCGACGCTGTCTTGATAAAAAGAAATACCAAAGCAGGAACGAACTGTAGACCATAGCATAATATGGCATACTTCCACTCCAGCTTTCTTAACTCCGGCAGACTGTAACGTCGGAATAAAACCAAATAGACATTGCATGCCATACAAAAGTTCCAAAGAGCATCTGCAGAGGTAAACCTAGTTTATTAAGTAAGGCTCAAGCACTAGAAGAATTGCGATATAGCTGAAAGAGGATGCCTTGTTTCAAAGACTCACCATTGAATGAAAAACGCCTGGAATCTGCAAAGAGAGGTGGTATCCCCAGCCCTGGGCCCAGCTTGCGCGATTAGCTCAGCGGTGTGGGCGAAGATATTACCCCATGTCGCGTAGAAGATTAGGCGATTGATCGGGGTGCGAAAGTGAGAGCTAAAGGTATAGCTCACGACAACAAGGAGGCACAGGAGTAGGGAAATAGATGAGCAAACACGGATGGTAATTTCCAATGAGTCAAGCTGCCATGCAGGTATGCCACTGCACCGAGGGGTAGAGCAGTTTAATGGAAGGGCCATCACGCTGTGCCCGAGAACACTCGCTCTGGCACAATCATGATTATCTAGACGAGTATTTGAGATGGCGTTTCGCCGGGTATTCCAGAATACTCTGTACTAAACATGCAACGACCATTGCATACCATACCTGTCACAGCACCGTGATTTGGCTCAAGGTGTAATAACAATTGACAACCATTGACGTTGACCCCCTCCGCCCACAATAGGGCTTGTCAGGTGATGAAAGAGGCGTTTATGGTTAATGGAAACTTTCGAGATATCAAACTGCTTAGAAAGACTTCCGAACATAGGCACTATGGTGGCTTTGAGAGTGGCGTGGGCCTCCCAGTCGGGCAAATTGGGTTTTTGGCCTTCTGAGCTCTCATGGCTCTACTACTGCGAAAAGGACACATTGAGCCTCATGTGATGAGATAGCTAGATATGTAGTTAGTTAAATAGGGCGTCAAAAAGGTAGGTGTTCGCGTTGCCTCCGAAGATCTCCGAGCAAGACCTTTCTTGTCACCTCGGTTCGAGACAAGACAGAACCCACACAGCAGATAAGCTCTTCCCAGAAACCGGGAAGATGAAAAGTCAAGGCTCGCGGAGTGAGAAGCGGTCGGTCGATCACCCATTATGCTCGCCGCTAAGTGCAGGGGTTCCAATTTGGGCTTAGCGGCTCTGGCGGGATTATGACGAAGGCTTTTCATTTTCTCTACTCCGTACATCGTGCCTTTCATAAAGCTCCAGGGCTTATATCGATCACGCCCACAACGACCTGTTGTTTTTTATAATGAGATCTGCAATTGCTCAATGCTTTTGGAGTCTAATGGGGCTATCTGGTGCCCCTACTGCCTAGTGGGACTGTGGGAGTCGAAAGCCCAACACCCCTAGCGACACTCTCTGACTGAGATCCGCCATGTAATCAAAACTTCACCTCTTTTTGGCCTTAATCTAGACATCTTTTCTCGCTATTCTTTTATTTCAAAGATATATATTCTATTTTCCTATCAATAGCCCACATGGGCTTACCCGAGCTCGGATTCGAGCCATCTGCTCCGGGATCATACGGAACTCTGTGCAATATTAACCCTACAAGCTATATTGAACAAGCCCGTGCTGCTCTCGAAACTCAGCGAGTTGGCTTTGAATCAGAGAGAGCCGCTTTTGCTGAAGAACGCAAGCTTTGGGATTGCGAAAGGCGCTTAATGCAGCAGAGAATCGCGCAACTGGAAAGGCATGGTGACAAAGACCACAATGCGCCAATGACAGGCCCAACCGTCACTATGCCTACCCAACCTGAAGCTGAAGAAAAACATCATATATGGGAAGGTACCAGCCCGACTGGCTTGCCGTCGCGGATATTTCCACTTGATGTTTCTCAGGCAGGACCGGGGTCGACCGATCCCGACAATTCTCCGTCATTAGATGAGGCCTTGTCCCCTAGATCTCGACCTACCGATCGCCACGACCCTATTGGCATACCCATCGAATTTGTGGATAGCTCGCTGGACGGCATAACGCTGAAGTCAACTGCACTGCCACCTGATATTGCCGCAAAAGTCTCATCTCCAATGCCAACCGCTCTGCCAACCTCGGCTCCTCGCCTTTCTTTGCATGAACCTGTCGCTACAGAACCTATAGCAAATCTACCACTACATCCTGCCTGCCTGGCGTCGCCACTTCCTGCCATCCCAAGCAATATCGATGATACCCCAATGGACCTTCCAGAGCAGCTAGCTGAATCTTCCTTCCCGTTTCCAATCGTTGATTCAATACCGGACGAGTCACCCTGTGCACCGCTGCCATCCCTTTTCCCTGTCGCTAGTCTTGATCCAGGTGGTGACCACCAACTAGAGAATAATGATCCTGCCCTTCACGAACCCCTTAATTTACAAAATGATGAAGAACATGATGCCGAATTTCTAGAGGAGCTAGATCATAAATTGCTTAAAGAAGCCAAAAGGATGCTAGCGAAACCCTCATTGTCATCTGATGGAGAGGATGAAATAGAAGGAGAGCCTCCCGAACCGGAGCCGGAACTACGGTTCAAATACAGTACCAATTTTGGAAGTGCATTTGGCTCCATGCAACTTGAATCTTAGGTATGCTGTATGTATTTTTTACATGGAGATGGCCAGATATCTTTATATTCTGACATACTATTCTAGAACACTCGGCCAAGGCATTCCCCTTTGACACAAGTTTTGCCCGGATAAGACTCTTGGGCGCAATTCTTCCTTATTTATGGTATATATGAAATCTCTGGCACCATTTATTTCTGCCCTTCTGTATTTCCTTGATATATACTTCTGTGCTCTCTACTTTGAGTCGTCACTCCTTACTTGCTTTTCAATTATTAACTTATGGAGGAATTTTCTTTTTGGGAATAGTTGTACGGAAATGGTGAAGGTCGAGTTTCGGTTCATGTTTCGGAATGAAAATCGATTTTTGTGATTAAAATGATATTTGAGGACCTCAAGTCGTTGGAGTCGCGTTTTGAATTCGAATCATCAGGATGTAGTTCATTCAATTCATGCTATCAAAATTTATATATTAATGCTTTATCCAGATGAGAGAACAGACGCCATTTCGCAAGATTGATTAAATTAAACACCCATTGTAAAATCATGCTCGATCCCAGGAGTCACACTAGCAATAAACTTCAAAAACACAACCAAGTACTGATCAACACGAATGGCTACTTGCTCCTCCTCATCATCTTCATCGCTAGCTTCGTGTTGTAGAACCTCCCATTCATCGCCTGCACTTGTTGCGATAGAAGAATACGCGGGCTTATCCACTTCAGTAATAACCAGACTAGATGTATCATCGACTAGCCCAACCAGGCCATGATCCATCTTAACATTTTCACCGGCCCTTGCACGTTTGAGTTTCTCTCTGCGAATTTTCAAGGCGGCGTCCGCGCGATCCAATAAAATCTTCATGACGTTGGCGTGCCGGCAAGGGTGAACGCTGGCCATTTTGACACTACCTTCGTAGAACGGGAAGTCTTCAAGGGTTACGGTTTTGTCCTTATAATCACCAGCAATATCTTCCATCATATGGTGAGGTGGAAGCGGCTCTGACAGGTTAAGATACCCTGATAAATAGAGGCGAGGCGTTCGGTAGTAGGGGGTGTAAGTTATATAAAGGGAGTAAGTGCGCAGGGGCCTATTAATTGTGATAAGGGTCAAAGTTAGCAAGAACAAGGACAATGGGTTATAAGCTACCAGGGGTAGAGACATACGTATTCTTCGACGTTCCGACTGGCTCTCTGATGATGGCCTCTTCGTCATCCTCGTCGTCCTCCATGTCTGGGATCTCTTCTTCTTCATCTTCCTTGTCTCCCAGATTGCCCAAATCATCCACCGTTCGAACGTCCATTATCTTGGCCTGGCTCTCGGCACCGGCGGGATTACCGCCCCCGGCATTCAACCATCCGTCATCTTCATCCTCGCCTCCTTTACCAGCGGAGCCGAATCCGTCCTTGATTATGACATCCTCTCGACCTGCATCGCCTGCAAAATTAGCATCTAGCCGCCTATGGCATGGGACGCCGCGAGTAACCAGAAATTGTTTCCCTTCTGGCAGGTATGGTACGCGTTTTGCGGGGGAGGCAGCGTCTGCCCAGGACCAGGTGGGAAATTTGTAGACAAGATAGTCTCCGGCAAGGACAAACTCTTCGGGGGTAATCTGTCCGGTTGACCGAAATGTAGACGTGTGAGTGATGGGCGCGAGTTTATCGCGCCAGGTGCGTATGATATTCATCGTGAGGACCTTAGGTACGAGATGCTTGCAACCCTGAGTAGCCGCCGGCCTTGCGGGGTATTTTTTGAGGATGAAGTTGTATGTGCGACACTTTGTATGGTACGAGTAAGCGACCAAGTGTCGTCTAGAGGAGGGGTGGGAATAAAAAGTCTGTGAGAAACTATTTTGTTGCCCCTCTTGACATCAGACGGGGCGATCGGGCGGGATGATGACATCCACGTGATCTGGCCAGAGCGCCTATTTTTATAGTTGACTACCTAGTTAATCCAGGCAACAGCTTGTGGCAAGAGATTCCAATACAGATCATCTACTCTTTGTTTAGCTGTAAATAAGTGTTTCAGCTATAACGGTCTTCATCTTGTCCAGTCCTATGCAGAACGGCTGCCCTCCAAAAAGATCAGCTGTTACCGACGCATGACAGTATAGGTCAAGCAACCTTGTATCGCCTTTGCTTCTACAAAGCCAATAAACCGGAGTCAATGGGGATATAAGCATGCCACTTTATATAATCACCTGGATTGGGTAGGCAGACAAATGTCCTAGTTAGAGGCGACGCAAAGGTTGCAACGCATCCAGAAATTGGCTTGTGTGGCTGGACCGAGGACATGTCTGGAGGCGCTTCGCCCTATAAGCCTACCCTAAAGTGGGTTTAGAAGCGCCAACTTGGTTATGGCATCCAAAAAGGCAGTGATTAACGAGGCGCCCTGAATAAGCCGAAGTGAAGTAGTTTTCCGGCCGGTATTGTTGGGTTCTCGGATGCTGTGGTGGTGAAGTGTACAGACGTAGAAGACCAGCCTAAGGTCTCCACGCCCTCGTCCGGAGCTATTTTATAGACTTCATAGCCATAATTTATTCGACTGCCTCGGTTATTGGCCTTCTCTGCAATTCTCGTTTCACATCCGCTGCTGTCAACGGCACTACCCTATCCTTCCATTTCTCGGCTTCGGCTTCCACAAACCCTTTAATGCTTCGCATGGCCACCACGAGGAAGCCCAATTCCTCTCTATCCACATCAAACACCTCCCACCATTCACAGTCCGCGAGCTTCACTCCTACTTCTCTCGCAGCAAGGTAGATAGCTGCCACGGCAAGTGCATTTGGCTGGTGTGTCACGTAGAGAAGCTGCGGAGAAAACAAAGCAGCGTTGAGATGTTCAATGGTCCGCTTCGCAACATCAGGCGTCGCAGCGCCTAGGGTTTGAAGGTATGTAAGAGCAATCGAGTGGGGAATGGCGACATGCGTGTCAAAGCCGAGAGTGCGAAGAATGGTGGACTCCATCTCCGTGAGTGAGATACGTTCAGACTGGTAAGTGCCCTCTGAAACCCAGTAGCTTTTTGGGTTCTCATTAGTGGCGGGCTGAGAGAGGTTTACGAACGCCAGGGGCGAGGATTCGGGAGATAGCAAGAATGCGTAAACATTGATAACTGATCGAGGAGACACAGGTGTAAATGAAAGTTTGGCAGCGATATAGATAGAAGCAGCAGAGATATCCTAGATCAGATCTGACTATCAGTGTTGATCCTCGAACGTCTCGTATCCTGACTTATCGAACCTTCGCCCCATAGAATACTAAGCTTCCTCCCTCTGAGCCCATCCAAAATCTAGTATATAGCACAATTGCCTGCGCGATAATATCCTGCGGTAGGCGAAGCAACACCCCAGCCGCCTGGGTCAATCTCACCGCCGCATACCGAATCGATGACTCTAGATCTGCGGGAACGCCATCTATGGAAGATGAAGAGGTGGCAATTTGCGCTACCGTTGCAAGAGAATTGGATAAGATTCCTGGAGTCGGTATTTGTGTCGACATGATATGTGTCAACAATTCGGGCCTGTGGTCGCCAACAGCATGCGCGTTTGATCTGTGAGCTCCTTGAGTTTCTTACTAAAGATCGACGCGAGCTTTCCGATTTTCTTAAAGCGGCGGCACCTCCAGCGTGTAACTACTCCGTAGCATCTACTCCGTACACCTCTTTCCTGGCTACGGGCTTTGATAAATGTGTTTTAGATAGCAGACTTACTGTTCCGGAATCTCCATCATCAATCGCCATACTTTAACCACCAATTAGCGGCTCCCCAGACGATCCTCTGTAACTACTTAACTAACCGGCCGACACTTGCAGTTGTCATCATCCAACAGGCAACACTTCTTATGCATCGCCCAGATAACGTTATCTCTGTACTCCGTGTAGAAGACAGTTTCAATTATCGTCAGTTGCCTTGCCGCAAGCACACCATTTCTGTGAAACCCTAACATCCGAAAATCGAAGCCACCAAGTTACACAACATGAGGCAACAAGGCAGCCAACAGCGGCGGAATACAAGAAAAAGCAACAAAGAAACATGAGAAAGCGATCCCTTCAGAAATACGGAGTATAGGGAACACATGTGTATTTTGGACATGATATATTCCCGCCTCTTCTTTGTTGGGTGCTTTCTTAGGTACCACATAGTTAATATTATTTTGTGACAGACTTGCGAACTGGAAGCGTTGCCTTTCCACGTATCAGTATTCCTGTTCCATTCCTTTGTGTTTTCGCGAATTATATGCAGCAGCAGTGGCTCGGAAGCCTGGCTCGGAAGCCTCGCGCACCGCTGATTTATGTAGCCGTTTGTTCAACTCCCAAGCTCCAGTTCCCTCGTATCTACGTAAGCTATTTTTGATGAAGAAAGGCGAACACATCTCACTGTTGCATATGGGCTCTTGGGTCATTTATGCTCGGTGGATCTGCCACCCTATTTTTTGACGCGTAGGACTATAGCCGCGGCGTAATGTAGATAAATGCATGGTATAGGTATTCGGTAGTTCTATTGGGTATTTGTACGCACACACTTAGCAGGCGAATATATCATACATCGGAAGATCCCGGAGAACATCACCTCTATCATTCTTTCATGTCCCCTAAATCAGTTTTCTGCGCCCTAACTATCCTCTGGCACAAACAGAATAGCGGTCGCCATACCTTACCCGGGCGGAGAAAAACATTGGCTTCACCTAGTTCACAATGCGCTATTTGCCACAAGGCCCACAGTATGCTCAGTGAACGATCTCGTCATCCACCCTTTTTAGTCATTGCATCGGCATGATAGTAATATCTGGTGAGAATCCAATCTGGATACTGCCTGCAGTAGTTGGTAAAACCCCATGTATACCAGAGTTATATGGGTTACATTGACACCTGTAGGTACAGACCTGGTATCAGGTAACCTCTGGACTTCGAAATTCGGGCTCAACCGCCTGAACAGGTTCAGCATCCGACATCTTGATATCAAGGTCCTCACTACCCAGGGCGTCCTGAAGTTGAGTAGGTGTTTGAGCTTCATCTCTGTGATCGAAGAAAGAAGCCGCTTCCTCGAAAAGCTTCGTGCCTCTCGAAATATTCTGGAGCTCTAAAGAAATATCTTTCGCAACAAATTCTTTTCGATTCTCATCGTAAGTAATCCATCGATCCATCTAAATTACCATCAGCAGGTACATGATCATTTCATAACATATGAAACTTACAGATGCAAGGCGATGGCCAAGCCACAAACATCTTTCACTTCTAGGAACTGTGACGCTGGGAGGTTCCAAAAATCGTTCATCATCGTCTTCAAGCGAGGAGACGTCAAAGAAACCCAATGGATAGTACAGCTGGCACCAAATTGATCCTCGCATGGCGAAATCCTCTGGCAAATGACGTTGCATTCCGATTTCCGGGACGGGAAAAGTCTCATTTCTCAAGCGGGATTCATTCAAACCCTGCGTGTTTAACGTATTTAAAAAGGTAGCCACAGCTTGCCATGGAATTTCGGACTGGATATAAGCCATGGCCTTGGGAACTCGGGATAGGGACCAAAGGAAAGCGAGGGAAACGTGCGCGTGTGGTAGAACATTCTTATCGCCAATGTGCTTCAGGACAAACGTGAAGACTTGAAATGTAAAACAAGTGGCATACGAGATAATTTCGTTCGAGTTTTCGAATTTGGCAGTGCCATCCGATGCAGGGGGTATCAAGCTAGAAAGGGGACGTAAAGACAAAGCAGAGGAGGCAGAGTGATAATCATCCTTAGCATTAACAATGGAAATAGGGGAGTCTATAGCATCTTGAATTAACTTCATGAAAACAGAGTCAGCACCATACTCCAGAAGAGAAGCAAAGTTTGCACAAGCGATGTACACTCCTTGTTCTCTCCACTTGGATCCTGTGCGTCCGATCTGGGTTTTCAGATATGATATAAATTCAAGTCCATACTCAAGGAAGGCGAGTATTGACCGTTTGCCAAAAAGAATTCCATGGGCTTTCACAAAGGAGGACATCACAGGGGAATGATGAGTGGGTTCCTTGGATTCCAATAAGGGATTGAAAAGAAGAAGAACAGATTCTTTGGCGTTTGGGAATGGCTGGACGCAGATCAAAGATTTGGAGTAAAAGAACAACTGTTGGAGAATATTTGGTCTTGCGAGCACAGCAAGATGATGTTGAATTCTCCCTACTTGGGGAGACTTATCAGCAGCTTTATTATACCAGTATCTTGCCACACCGGCCCACACCTCCCTATCTCGAAGATCGGCCTCTTCCACAGCCATTCTATATCGGGCCAAATCCCCTAGGCACTCAATCCATGTATCTTCAAAACTGGGTACACTCTCAAGCAAAAGGGCCATCATGGAATATGCAGTGTAAATGAAAGCAAGCATGTGGTCCAATGCCTCAGGGAGCCTGTGTCGTAAGAGTTCCAGGAAGGAATGAATTCCATGCCTCCACATTCGTGCGGGCATGGCGTAGCGGCTGGCTAATTTTTGAAGCGCGGGACTGGCTGCAGGATGTTGGGACGCCAGGAAGAAATCATGGTGTTCATGAAGGAGAGTTCTATGAAGGGCAATCAGAGCCTGCCACTGTTCATTACTGAGGCTGGCAGGATTTTTGGCTTGTTGGCGATCAATCTCGACACACTTTTTCTCCACCAGAACCAAGCCAGCATAGATTGTTCGGACCTCGTTGATCAGCTGGTCTTCTGAAATCTGCCGCGTTTCAGGCTGCAAAGTTAGGGTGTTGACCGGCATCTCATCATTTGCGGACTTCGGCGCATCCACCATCGACATGGAAACGACAGCGGAATCGAAGTCATAAGCTGAGTGCTTCTGAGCACCAGCGAAAACTCTTTGTGTGCCTTCATCATAGTTCGGCGTAAAGACCTTTGGTTGCGGCCGCGGAAGAAGAGAGATTTGCTTTGAAGGCTGCTGTGGCTGCTGCTCTTGTTGTTGCTGTGGTTGCTGCTGCTGCTGGACCCGCTGATGTTGCCGGGGAAAGTGTCGCTCGCGGGGCTTCCCAGGAGTGACGGGGTCGCGGAGGCTGAGGTCTTCGAGCTGCGGCGTCTCGAGAGGCGAGGTGGCAATGTACGGCTCGACAGTGAAATTGGTGATACTCCTATTTGACATGTCAGGGAACTGGCCAGCGAGGCCGACAGCGCGCGCGTTTCTCGTGAGTGTGCAGCTGTGGTGCTGGGCAGGGGCAGGGAGAGCGCTCACCCGCGATTAGGCTCGCTGTTGGACTCGGTACTAAGATAATCCGGCTCCGCACAACACTTGCCACGTGATGGCGCGGGCCGGAGCGTAAGCGACGTTCCTGGTGTTGACATTGTCCGGAAAATGCTGATCTAGAAACCGTTCAGGTGCATTGGTTAAGATCATTTTGCGAAAATTTCCAAGGAGCGTGTGTATCGACTTCGCTTCAATTATATATCTTGCTTGTTATATCGGCGGTTGCATTCTCAAACCGTCTTTGTAAAGCGACTGTTTTTTACTTGTGGTCGGTCCGAATCACGTTCTATCCGTTTATGGCTTAGCGGTAGCTTGGGCCCTTGGCGGGTTGCCTTGTTGAAACGGCGAACCACTGCCCACCGTCGCCTTGCGGTTTGTTTGCCCGCCCGCCTTTGCCGCTCTAGGTAGCGCTACAGCGCCTATTGACCAGGCGTCTACGCGGCTGACGTTCTGCCGCCTTTCCAGAAACGGCAAAACAGCCGCTCGCACAATGTAGCGCCATATTTGCCCACTAAACGCCTTGAATAGCAACGGCGCCCGGCAAGGCCACCAGGTTTCGCCACCAGAAAAAACGCAGAGTAAGCAGGAAACAATTTGTTTGTCTTTCCTCAGCTCGCGGATAGCCCTTTCAGCTCAGCCGCAGCTCCGGCAGCCACAATCTCAGAATGGTAACACTGAGGACCCCTAATCTGACACATTGAGGCTCGGATATTTGCCGCAATAGGCCTCATAGCTGGAGCTCCAGCCCGGCTGCCTTGAATTCTCTGTGGCCTTGTGAGTGGAAACCGGTCTAGGTGGGCAACCAAACAATATGATATTTGGATCCTCGCCCTAATATCCAAACTTCAGTGAGATGGAAGTGCCATGTTGTCTATGGTTAGCCTTAGGCAGCTTCTCGCCTTGACTTCCTTCCATTTCATGATACAGGCTGCAGGCTAACCCCCGCATGCATCTAAATTAGGGCGACCGGGCACATGCATTAATCAAAATATCCCCACATAAAAATCTCTGAGGCAAATTATAAGTCTAAATGCGCCGGTCCTTTTTCGGGAAACAAATTTGCGTATCTGGATACTTAGGGCAATTTCTCTCGCCATCTCTTGTGGTATCCTGACGCTACTGTAGTCAGCCTTGCTCTTTTATTTTACATCCATGGGTGGCATCACATTTCATCTCCTATTTAAAAAACAAACCCAATCTTTTCGTTACCTACGCATCTTACTCGGTCGACAATTCTTGTCCCAATCCGGATTATTGTCTTCAGAGCACATTATGCATCTACATTTGTATGGACTATATGCACGCATGATATATCCATACAGCATACTCCGTATGGAGTACGGATTTCACTCTTCAAATGATGTCGTCTATTTGTTTACTTTGATTAGAACGACCAAATGGAAGAAGGAAGCTGGGATTAGATACCAATCTAAGACCATTCGGGGTAGAATGGCGTGCAAATGGTAGTCCCATCTTACTTCGCACTTCGTACACCATACGGGAACGCGAGCGCTGCTCTGTATTACGAGTAACAGCAACTGTTCCGGAGTACTCCGTACCTGCCTACTCTACTTACTCCACCAGAGCGTTCTGAGTCGAAGGAGGCGCCCCAATGAACATTAACCAATTCCCGCATGATCTTCAATGCAGATTTTTGAAAGAGGCGCGGAACTATTGATGTGTTTTAGCGAAGCCCTCACCGACTACTCAAAATGGGAAGCCTTGCGGAGGCTGGCCGCCTACGTGCCTATGCGAATACGGAGTATTCCGAATGTTGGTCAGGATTATCTCATACAAGGCACACAGTGTATGGAACTATGTACGGAGTAGGTCAGAAAATAATGGAGCCTACACTCTGTGCTTGCCTTATATATTCTATATATGTGCGCCGTTACACTGTTCTGTAGACATTAACTATTGTACGGAGTAACATATTGGGTAGGACGAAGCTGGGCCTTTTGCGACCCCAAGTAGTGCATATGAGGGCTTTGAACATCCTGGGTGATTAAAATTTCATATTTCCGAGACCTGATGCTGGATCGATTAATTGTGGCCTGCTGGTGGGAAGATTGAAATGTAACGCCGTCACGAGACCAAGCAAATATCCTGCCATTCGACTGCCTTCCTTACCCCAGTTAGCTAGTTAAACCAGCCTGCTTTTTGTTTCCTCCCACACCGAGCGCCCTTTGATCACGAACTATTGGCTTGGTCTACCATACCCCGAAATTAAAGACTGCTCCTTGAAAGGCTGAACAGCAAGGACCCAAGACGGACCGGTGGGACTCAATTTTGCCCTGAGAAGTTTACCTTATCTCCTTTCCCTCCCAAGTCACAAATCAGGGCAAGCTTACATATGGTTACATGCTGCCGGCTCATTAGTAGTAACTACTCCGTACCCAGAGCCAAACGACCAAGAACGAATGGAAGGGCGCTGACAACAAACAGTGGCGGAGGCGCAGTCAACTAACTTATATGATAAAATCTTGATTTGGCATTTTGAAATAAGATTGACACTCAAGCGTTCAAGCTATTGGGGATTTCTGTTTCCATGCACCCATCCTTGCCAGACATGCGAGTCGGCTGACGGCGTGACGTGGTACGAGCTGGATAGTCCGCACGTTGACATGATCGCGTTGACCGCCAGGAATCGAAAAGCTAGGAATTCAGATACTGCCTAGCAGCTCCACTCACTGGAAGAGATTCAATCAAAACATGGCTTGAATATATAGTGGATGCATGCTTGAATGTGCCCCTTGCTGCCTTGGTATAGTGCGAATGCAATCACCCTTCAATTTCCAGCCCAGGATGTGCATATCCATGCTGGCACCAAACACATGAGCAAAGTGTGGTGTGCCATAGGTCATTGTTGAAGTAAACCGAGATCCTGACTGGTCTGCAGTACCTAATGGTTTGATATGGCATACTTCATGAGACCAAACACCCAGCTCTTTCAGTGGTGTTGTTTACCGACAAGGCTGATTGACGCCCTTTCTCGCCTTGAAATGGAGAAAATGGTAAGAATGGTACGGAATACTTCAAACAGAGTGCTACGTGGGATTTCTTGAAATCCGCTAGGACCCCCCCCCCCCCCCCCCCCCGAACTCACCCAATATCTAGTGGTTGGTGATGAGCCCATGCACGTATTAACTCGGATTACCCCGCATCCTTGACTCGGAGCTGAATGCTTCCCTTGCGTGATAGTGTGCTGATAAGGAGGGGTAAATGCTGTCGCTGGCAGTCCCTCTTACGAATCAAAAGTCTGGAAGGTATGATCATACTTCGACACCCGATAAGAGCATATATGTAGGAACATATCTAAGAATCTTGTCTCTCATGGCGGATAGCGTCCGACCTGCGGGTCTCCTACTCTTTTGACTTCAAACAGAAACTGGAATCGCGAACTTCGAGTTATTTTTAATTGACCTGATTATAAAAGGCAACTACGTGTTCTCGTACAGAGTACAGCCTTGACCTACTTCTTTACGGTAAAGGTACGCGATATCCCTCTCCAAATAGAAGCTGTGGGTTCAGAACCCCGGGAGAATATCAATAATGTGGTGGAACAACTACGCCCTGTAGCCGAAGCCTAATTATATCGATGGCAATATACCAATTAAAATTCAATAACCAAAATCGAGGTAGAAATGACAAAATATAGGGGGGAACGGTGGAATTTCCTATTCTATACAAACCCGGACACTCATCCTATTTGAAGGGTTGAATACTGAGAATAAAAAGGTTTCTAAACATATTTAATAATATTACGTGTCACAAAGCTCAAGGGACATATATTCGGTACTAGCGATTTTGTTAGGTGAGTATAAGTAGGAAAATTCTCGTTGGTAAGGCATACCTTTGAGTGAACAGTCTTCGCACAAATAGGACAATTTGCCGAACTTTGAAGGGTATTCCTTGGGATCCATCTTTTTGAGCACCATCGACAAAGGGCAACATGACCACAAGGAATCAAAACTGTGTCAATCCTTTGAGAAAGACAGACTTTGCACTGAAAGTTCACCAGCAATTCAGACTTGTCTATCGGCTCTGGTGGTATGTCATTTTCATCAGGCTCATTTTCCTCCACCTGTACCATGGCCATGGATCGAGCCTGATGGGCATCAGAGATTGTTGGGTTAGTGAACGTTGCTTGATTGGGTACTCGTGTCGGACGATCAGATCTCGAGTTAGCAAACAAAGGCAACGGCCACCCGCTAGGCGGTATACCTATATCACTGATTATCAGTCCCAAGCCGCCGATGGCGGTATTAAATGTGGCTTTTTACCTATTTGTGCCCAAGTAGTTCTGTGTATATACTCAGCGAAGCGTCCTTGAGGTACTTCTGGGTACTGGCGCGTATCCATCATATTTAGAATGGCCTGTGGAGTGAGTGGAACGCGTGTAGAACCATCTATTTGCATGCCTTCTTGCGCTCGATTCCCGTTTCGTTCATTTGTTGCTACCAAGTTTGATCCTAAAATGGAAACGCGAACCGTTGGCCCTCTAAAAGAGACCTGTCTGGCTGCAAAATTCGGATGTACAGGTACGTTCGGCGGAGACAATGATCGGGGGTAAGTTGCAGGACCAACAGGATTTATATTGAAAAGAAAATCCGAGGCCGATTGATCGACATGCTGGCGCACGGGCAATTCAAAAACGATGTTTTGAGGGGAAGAATGCGTTGTGCCAGGCTCATCAAGTGCAGCGTTACTTGAGAGAGGCTGATAAGGTGGGTGCACAATACGTCGAGCAGCATGCGTATTGCCCCCGTAGGTTATTCTAGCCCGAGCCCCGAACAGGTCTTCTATCTCAGCAGCTAACCTCGCAGCTTCGCTGGAAAATTCTGACGCAAGACCGGATATAGACTCATGGCCGTTGAGAGTAGAATCTTGGTTTTCGTCTCGGGACTCAGGTTCGGACATGGCAGGCGCGCGGCCTAGGGGAAACCCAAGTGCTTGCGTCACTGTTGGCTTTCATATCCTGGTCATTGGAGTTAATGAATAGCCTGTGTGCTCGGGTGGGAAACCGTAGGAATATGCAGTTGGGGCAGGCCCCGTGGTTCGTGAAGAGCGAGAGATGGCTACTGTTCTGGTCGTACCTACTCCCAAGACACACGCTCTCTCCATTGCTTGAGCCTAACCGGTTTCCGGAAGCGATTCTGACTTTCCCTGGCAATCGCGTTTTGTATCTGGGATGGGTGCGCAATATTGTGATTCTCCATTGCCCTGCCCTTTTTTTACATCAATGGCTCAACGAGATGCTCGCCCTGCAAACCTCCCAGCCGCACACAAAGCCCAGGTGCTGGCTCATCTATATCAAGTAGAAGTACGTCCGTAGACTAAAATATTTCTAACATAGTTCGTAACCATATTGATTGGCCATGTCAAAAATACACAACAGGTATAATGGGGTATCTCAAGGCGGTTGATAAAGTGAATTTATAGATGCAGGTATGTATGTATGTACATGTATATGTGCATACAGAGTAGATGGTAGCTATTTAGCAAAAAGCACATTATGCTGAATTAGAAAGCCCCCCCCCCCCCCAAAAAAAAAAGATAAAGCTCTAACTTCGCAGGCAGACGTATCTGAACAGTTGCGAGGCGAGGCAGTGGATGTCCGCCCGCCAAGTATTAGGGTTTGGCGCGCTAGTTAGCTAACTAACCAGTCACGTGGGAAGGCGTCGGCTCAAACGTTCAGGAGGAAGTTGACGAACAACATCAAAGCGCCAGTGGCCCTTGACCAGGGACGGCGAACAAGCTCCTGGCGTCCTCCTCCATGCCGGCCCGTCTTTCGATCCAGCGACCCTCGCCGACAACTGTCCTGTTCAATGTTTCTAACGTGCCCTACCGGTCAACCATCGCTTCGAAGCTTCTCTTTTGCCTTGAAGTCCTGTTGCGCGTCTTCATATTCTCCACCGTCTTACTAATTGATGCTGCAAAGCTTCGAACTTATGCATTTTATCGTGACGGAACTGTGCCATGGACCAAAGTCTGGTCAAGCTCCGTGGGCATGCTTGCCTGCCAGATAGCAGATCGCCACCTGTGGCAGGTGATTGCGCCGGCTAGCGCCGTGTTGCTATACTTGATGGTTAGGAAAGGGTACACCGGTTAGTTCTAGCAATTGGCTTCAGCCCGCTACTCGTGCTCGCACAGCCGCTAACCTATACCGCCCTCAACAGAGGAATCGCTCCTTGTCATACGTGGTCTTGGAGTACAGACGTCGTCCTCCGCTGCCACATACTTCATGAGTGCCACCACGCGGTTTATTCCGACCGCCCAAGTACAAGACATAGTTATCCATGAGGCATTTAGGAACTTTGAGGTCCGTTTCTATCTGGTTATAATCGTGGAAGGCGAGTCAGAAGCAATTGTGGTTTTCCCGGTATGGCGATTTGCGATCACTCTCTAACCGCGATTATACTGACCGCCGAACCGTAGAAACTCCTACCCCGGCGCAATATACTAGAAGATGCTTGGAAGGGAACTCGCAAATGCCTTTATGAGCCTAGCTCGTAATGACAATAGCCCAGTCGTTCATTAAAGTAACAAAGCAATCGCTGGCAGGCTTTACGCCACAATGTCACCAGTCCCAAGTGATGGAAGGCGGAAAAGAAATTTTGTTCAAACACCATCACCAGAAGCACTTAACTCAAGCTTCTGATGTCCTTGTTTGGCTTGCCGCTTCCCCTTGCTTGCCCACCTTGCATTTATATCCTCAACCGTATCGTTCCGTCGTCGCTGCATTAGCGGTATGTATTTTCCACTCGTCTTGCCATCATTCCCACCGTAGAACATCTTCTGATGGCGGTTGATTTTATCTGGAGTAGGGTGCCTAAATCCTCCTCTCGCAATCGAGTCTCCGTCACCCTGGCTCACAACGAGATCCAGAAGGCTGGCAGCCAGAACTTCATCGATCTTTCGCTGTCTCCATACAGACCAAACGTCATCTACTGTTCCTGAATGCCCGAATTTACCGTCTCCCCTTCCTGACTTGGCAGTACGAGGATCTCCTGCGTACACCCAGTTTAGTCCGTCTTCTGTTTCATCGGCGTTGGTGCCAGGGAATATGCAATCCCACAAAACCAATGGGGCATCTGACGCAATCTCATAGATTGGACGTCGAGGATTTTTACTGACGTCGAGTAGCTCTGAAATTATAGCTGGAGATTCAAGGCCCTGCCCTATAAGAAATAAAATAGCAGCCATATGCCGTACTTGGTGCCATAAGAATGCTGATCCATGGACAGAAAAATAGTACACTTTCAATACAGGCCCATCCCTTCTGCTAGATGCCGAAGACTGTGGTTTAGAGTCCGTGTACTGCTGAAACCCCTGTTGGTCCAAAAACGCAGGAGGAAGGGTTTGGATATCCAAAGCCTGTACATCTGCGTATGATATGCTGCGAACAAAATTAGTGATTTGTTTACTCGCATCAACCTTGCAAAAATTTCGGAAATCATTTGAACCCATGAATCTCCTTGCACCATCTTTCATGGCATCGATATCTAGCCATCCCTCCCTCATCTTGGACGTCGATGTAGTGCCGGGGGATTTAACGAATCCTAGCGGGCCGGGAGTTGGACAGAAGGCGGGCTGCGTAAAGAAGTACCGATATCGCCGCTCGCGACATGAGAATCTGGCACTGAAATCCGACGGGGGGTTTGGACACCATGCTAGCACACGAATATCTTCTGGAAGCACACCATTCAAAATCTGAATATAAGGGAGCTCGTCTGCTATGTCGTCCCATTTATCTTGTTCTGCGTCTAGATCAGATATGTCGAGATCCAGCTCAGCAAGTGGGCTTTCTATCTCGGTGTCCGGGTTTTTTGGCAGAATTGGGGTAGATGATTTGAGTGTATCTGCCGGCAGGTCTTTTTGTTTTGGCCTTGAGCTCCGTACTCTAATCCCTACGACTTGTCCGAATGCGCTGACTCCGCGGTCTGTCCTCCCGCACTTCGAGTAGTCGCATCCTTCCCAGTCAATGAAAAGTGGACGCTGTAATCCATTTTCCCCCTCATTTTCTGTGTCAGCTACCTTTGGAAATATCAAACGAGCTTTTCGCAAGGCTTTCCATAGCTCTTCCTCAATCGTAGGCAAAGGTGTGACGTTGCCATTTGCGTGTTCATAGCCATTGTATCGTTGGCCTAGGTAAGCGAATTTTAAAGCAATAAGCCTGGTATTGTATTTCGACGGGTCTATGTCTCGTGATGGCTTTGATGCACGGGAAGTTGACCGTGATGGGATAAGTCGGCGCGGAGAATGGGAATTTGGGGAATTGTTTGGCGCCTGGAATCGGCCACGAGAATGGCTGTTGTCCTGGTCATGAAGTTGCTGTTCTAACTCTGAAATCCGGGCAATAAGGCGGGTGCTATCCCATGTCGAGTAATCAGGTCGAGGGCCTGTCATCGGCTGGTTTTCTGGGGGAGTCATGGCTGTTGACGAAAGTACCCTCTTGGAAAGATGCCACGACGAGGAGGGAGATGATAGCGCAGATTTGGTGGTTCGTCGCGATACACATTGAATGCTCTGAAAGGTCCGGATTGGGACTCTCATTCCTAGCTTCAGAGGGCCTGTTCTCCGCCCGATACCATCCCACTGCTCTTCCTCCAAAGTCCTCGCCGCCCGAAATTTCAGAGAGTGCGCAGCCTGGTAATTTTAATACATCAAAGGTGCGTACTTGACAAATCACAGCTCTAGATTCTTAAGGTTATCAGTACTGAAAGGTTTGCATCACGTGCAGCGAGGAATATAAAACCTTCTGGCTGCCGTCAGCTCCACAAAGAACAATGATATGGAACACACCACCCTGAGAACAACGGGAGAATGGCGGTCTATGGAGCTTTTCAACAATCTATGCAATGTAAAAAGCCTCTGGAACATTGTTTAGCAGGCAATGTTATTCTTTTACCCTGGGCTTTGCACTGGGAATTTCATAACCCAGGAAGCTGGGTATTTTCTCACAAATACTTGTGAATTGCGGTGCAACTTGGATTGCATTGTAGTCCTTTATTATCTGCGTTCCCTCTATATATTGCAAGATGGGTGACCTCCTAGGCGACTCAGCACCACTCTCATACCGCCGAGAAATGTGACCTGCGTGGCGAGTCATCACAATGCTGAACCCGGGGCGGGCTCTCTTGTTTCTCTCACTTTGTTCTTTTCACTTTCAGTGGGAACTGACTGACAGCTTCCGTCGCATCTTTTCAACCTCCAGTTTCCCTACTTCTTGAATTACAAGACACTTTGTCTGCCTCTCTTCTAGTTGACTTAAAGGCATCCTGGCTTCTTTCTTCTATCCGTGGCAGGCCGCTATGAGGGCCGAGCCCGAAATTCCGGATGGTGTGGGGGTGCTGTCCTTCAGCATCAAGCATGAGTTTATTGTCAAGGTCAACATTCCTGAAACCTTAGGCTCCCAGGCCTTGGGCCTTTCCTATGTTCAGAACATGCGTTCCGTCCATGAACGGATTATTGAATACCTCAGGCGTTTCGGAGTCAGAACTAACGACTACCGCGCCTACAATGGCGACCTTGCAGCGTGGACCGTAGAAAAAGGCGTGGATATCAAGATTCACGAAGTCTCTGACCCCGACCACGGCTCCGATGATTGGGGGTTCTTCGAGGTTAGACTCGGCACTCCTGTCTATCCATACTTTCGACCTTTTTTTTTCGAGATCGATCGTGTCCTTACCCTTATGAAAGACGGGTATGTGACGATTTTAAACAGTTCCTGCAGTTTGACTGTTCATGTCGGTCGCTTGGAGGGGCTCTACCCGGAACGTTATGAAAGTTTCGGTTTCTCCATTGGAGTTGTGCAAACGGTATTGGAGTTTGTCTGGAAGTTTGAGGCTCAAATTAACGCCTTGCATCCCCAACACCGCATCTGGGGCAATCCGTATTGCATCACTCCCTCACGCTTACTGGATCACATGGACTCCAGAACTATCAGCCGCGCGATCTGGCGGTGCAAGAATATGGCAGAATTGTACGATCTCTGGGAAGGGAAGCTTAACGTGCAGCAAGCCTTCCGCAGCGCCCCTATCTACGGGATTCGAGGATTAACCAACTTTGGCGACAGGGGCATAAGTAACGGAACTATGCGGTTCTCACAGCATCAGGGAACGCTTGACTTTGAAGAGGTCAAGAACTGGGTGTGGTTTATCGGGTGTCTTGTGCAGCTCTCCCTTGATCGTGGCTGTTGTGGGATTCCGTTAAACATTTTGGGTTTTGCTGAAAGGCAGGTCAAGTTGGACGAGCTTTCTGCGCGCGAATTCATTCGCAGAGTTGGTATGAACGACCAGTACAAATATTACAAGCAGCGTTTGGCGGCAGAAGAAGAGTTGCTTGGCCCCTGCTTTGAACCCGGCAAGCCCGAGGGAACTTGAATATGGCGTTTAGCGGTTTTCCTTGAGTGTCATGTAATCCAGCTAGTTTGGCTGGTGCTTTGAGGATGGGTAGTTAACATAGTACCGAAATGAAATCTACGCAAATGGCAATATAAGTCATCAAGTAAAAACGTTTTTTCTTTACTTCAGTTAATATACAGCAGAATGGAAGTGGGACAACGGTTAAGTACGCCCCTTGTTGACAGCACAGGGCGTTCCCCCATATGATGAAAATCATAACGGATATCTTTCCCTCATAAGTGCCACCAAGTAAATTGAAGATACCTTCCACGCCATTGAGAACCGAGAAAAAGAAACCGTGGTATTGAGCGTGTGGAAATATTTGAATATTTCAGGGTTTATGCTTTGGTTTTGGAATTTTTTTCAACAAGGATGAAATTGGGAACAAGGAAATAGGCCCAAGACCATATCGTTGCGGGCTGGAAATGTATCAAAATACCCAGTACTGCGGCATTAACCTTATAAATGGTCCAACAACAACCAGGAATTCTTGCTAAGGCCCATCATAGCTTCAATTTTTCGTTTACCACTTGGCTTCAGCAGCAGGAGTCTCGCCAGCCCAACCCTCGGCGCCGGCGCCACTGCTAGCAGCCCAGTCACCACTGCTTGGCTCCCAGGAAGTAGGAGCTGCAGTAGCAGCAGCTGCTGCAGCAGGAGCAGTAGCAGATGTAGCGGCAGCAAAAGCACCTGCACCAGCTTCCCAGCCGCCAGCTTCGACAGTTTCGGCACCGACTTCATCAGCACCTGCAGCCTTGGACTCCTCGAGTTCCTTGGCTTCTTCTGCCTCAGGGTCGCGATAGAAGTAGAGATCAACGACGACGTCCCATTCGGTTTCACGGGTAGCAAGAGTACCACGGAGGCGGAGGACTTCACGAGCAAGCATCCACCAAATCAGACCGATGGCGTGACGACCCTTGTTGTTGGTGGGGATAGCAACATCGACGAACTCAGTGGGGGAGTCGGTGTCGCAGAGAGCAATGACGGGAATGTTGACATAGCTGGCTTCCTTAATAGCCTGAGCATCGGTGCGGGGATCGGTGACGATGATCAAGCGGGGTTCCTTGAAGGAGCGGGTGATGTAGTTGGTAAAGCTTCCGGGAGTGAAACGACCAGCAATAGCAACGGCGCCAGTATGGGCGGCGAACTTGAGGACGGCACGTTGACCGTAGGGACGAGCGGAGATCACACAAATGTCGGCTGGGTTGTCGATAGCAGCGATGATACGGGCGGCAAGGACAATTTTTTCCCTGTTGCGATTACGCGAAGAGTTAGTCTGCTGGACTTGAGTATGGCCATGTAGGGTGGAGTATACCAGGTCTTGCCAATGTTAATCACATTGACACCATCTGGACGGGTTTTCCAGAGATACGGGTCCATGTGAACCTGCAAGTTTTTCGAGCCGAGATGGCATTGAGCGGCCAAGAGCATCTCCATATCCTGAGATGTGGCATTGAAAACCGGAGGAAGATTGGAAGGAGCCATGATGGGCGACTGATACTTCTGCTTGAGAAAGAAAAGAAAATATCAACCGTTTGGCGATTGTCGAAAGGGCAAAAGGCAGTGCAGGCGAGAACGGATGAGCAACTCTCCAGCATTTCGCGAATCGCAAATTCGACGAAGCGTTTGTGTGGGCGACAGCTCGGACGGCGCTAGTACAGGTTAGGGCTAGCGTTATGGTTAGGGCAGACCTGTCGGATTTACGCCGGGCCGAGGGCGGCATTATAGCAGTTGCGAAAATGAAAGATTCGGAGATCAAAGTTGCGGGTTAGCAGCACAGCACTCCCTCAACCAGCCACAATGCCACCTCGGATTTCGTTACAATCGTGCCCGCGGTCCCTAAACGGTGAGTGTGGCCCCAGGAAAGCTTAGTTTCATTCACTCTAACAAGCTTCTGCTCAGGACCCGTCTGCAATTTGTTTGCGGGTTTATCACTCGGACCTACCACGCAGACTCGGGCAGCTTCTTCAAAAAGGAAACATAAAGATCCATTCACAGTAGCAGCAGCCCGGCAAAGGAAAGCAGCAAACGTGTCCCGACAGCGTGTATTGCAAGAAGAGCGAACAGCGCGCCTGGGTCACCCCGTTACTGGAATCCTAACGCCTTCAACCGAAGCCCTGCTCAATGGACAAGTTCTCCCCATTCCGCCTCGATCAGAAACCAATGAACCTGCCTTTCCACAGCCGCCGGAAAATCTGAACTATTTCCTTTTCTCTGACGAGCTGAACAACGCCCTTGACTATTCTAAGAAGATCTCCGAACCCGTGCCTACCCCCAAGGGGAATACATTCGACCCGGAAGCCGCCCAAGAAGCAATAGCGAGGCATGAAGAGAAACACAAGATTGCGAAGGAAGCAGTGGAGCGCATCACAAGGCTGAGCAATGGCAACAGCGCGGATCGCACCCGCTTGAACATCCAACGCTGTATCGCCATGTTCGGCCGGCACAACACCGATGGCGAGCTGGGCCCGAAGCCAGCACTGCCTGAGGGTACGTCTGGTCCTCAGCATCCGCCCAAGCTACCGCGGGCGGGCCCGGACACCGGGTCGTCCGAGGTCCAGGTTGCGATCCTGACCACGAAAATACTGGCGTTGGCCAAGCAGTTAGAGACCACATCGCACAAGGACAAGCTCAACAAGCGGAACCTGCGCCTGCTAGTTCATCGGCGACAAAAACTGCTCAAGTACCTGCGCAGGAAGGAGCGAGGTGGCCCGCGGTGGCAGAACCTGATAAGCACGCTAGGCTTGACGGAAGCGACGTGGAAGGGGGAAATTAGCATGTAACTAGAGAGCTCGAGACCGGGCATGCATGTACAGTACTTTCAGTATATTAACATCTGTTTCATTTCTACGTCGCCAGCGCGCAGTAATTCTCGTTCGTTTCTCTGGCTGGCGCTGATTGGCCGGCGCGGCCCGGCGAGGCAGGCAGTTGGCCGCCACCGCCTTTGTGTTTCTGCCGCGTAGTTTTTTGTGTTGGCGCCCCAAAGCGGAAGTCACCACCACACGCTGCGGCTTCCACGACAACCACCGCGGACGTGCCGGCTTCTCGATTTGGCCGTGTTGTGTCGTTGCTGCCGCTACTGCTGTTGCTCTGCCCGCGCCTATATAAACACGCGCCCTCCCCCCACCTTGTCCTCTTCTTCTTCTTTCTTCCTCATCACCAGCATCATAGCGCATTCAGCTCGACAAAACCATTCAAGCACTGCTACGTTTCTGCCAATATTCTGATTTGTGTTTAAGACTTTCCACTGTGTGATACTTTCTATTGATTGTTTCTCTAGCTCGCCGGCTTCTGCCTGTGTAAACAAGGTGCGCGTTGACCACTTGCACTTGCGCAGCACAATGCTAATCCGCAAGCTTCCGCAGCCTCTGCTATATTTTCAGCCAAGCTCTACGCAGACTTATTGCTTTACATCCCTGATAGCTCTCTTCTTGCAAGTTCCCGACGATCTGACTCGACCTTTATTCCCTGCTTGCCGACTATTTAACAGCGTCACTTGATATTGCATTGCTCGCGACCACATTACTGCAGTGACTTTGATCCCAGCATTTGGCCCACGCCGCTTGCATAGTTTGTCACAATGGTCCGAACTCGATCGCAGCCGATCTCCCCAGGCGGCCTTAGGTCCCTCGACGATGTGCTTCCAAAGCGGAAAACTGCTACCAAGTCCTCCGCCAATAGCACCACAGAATCTGCAGCGAAAACTGCCAAGACGACGAACAAGGTTACGAAAAACGCGTCTAAATCGAAGGCACCAAAATCCAAACGCGCCCCCAAAAAATCTTCAAAGTCTCAGAAAGGGAAAGCGAAAAAGGGCGATTTAAAATCTCAGGAGCCCGTCAGTGAGATCTTGGTGGAGCCTAGCCCGCAGACACCTTGCCCACCTAAGAGTGAACCAATTGTCACTCCACCTACTAAAAGTGAGCCATATCTTTCTTCTTCGCATGTTATGTCCTTTTCTACGCCCCAAAAGAACCCGGATAGCAGTTTGGATACTCAACCAAACACTGGCCCCCCCAATGAAGGTGATTTGTTGTGCTCTTCTTCTGCCTCGAGGCTGCTGCTGGCAGGTGCCATGAAGTCTGGTCGAGTTACGGGGCAGGTGCCAATTCCAAGGGTGCCTGCCATCCCGCGGGTGTCCGCCTTCCCCAAGCCCCAGTTCCTCTGCCGGCCTGCTTCAGTCTTTGCTACGAGGGAAGGGTCTCCTGGCCTTGTGCCACGGAGTAGGGGCCCCGCGAGGTTCCAGGCTGGCCCGACTCCTTGGCTGCGCCATGCAGTCCTTACTCAGGCTGAAAAACGCCTGGGCGCTTCAGTGGGCTCAATTCAACATGAGCCCATGGCACAGTCGCCTGTTCCGTCGGCCAATTTTGAAGGCCAGGGTTCAGGGGTTCCCGTTGGTGCCACTTGGCATTCGACCATTTTTACCCCCCCTAGTACGCCAGGGGCTAGTTCAAATGGTCACTCTCAAGTCAGCCCGCCTAGTGACCCAATGGATATTGATATCATCCCTGTTGTTACGGAACCCGAGCTTTCTCCCTGTTCAAGACGGGAATATGCCCCAACGTGTCCTTGTTGTTCTTCTGTTTTAGTGTGTCCCAATGGCCACGTCATTTGGCCTAACCCTCAAGTTCACCAAGTATCACGAAACACAACGCTAACTGAGTCAAATCCAGCTTGCCCCAACACCGATGACCGCAAGAGAAAGCGGTCCGACGACACTTCGGGAACCGCCACAACTCCCGACAACAAGAAACCTCGGGTGGAGGAAAGGCCAGAAAGCCCTTTTCTCATTTCTGCACCCCGCCGTCGTGAGCTCCGAGCGGCAACCATGGCCCAGCACAAGGGCCGGCAAGTTATTCCAATTGCCAAACGGCGCTCACGACGAACGGCGGAGCAGAAAGCCGCTGGCCTAGCCGCACAGAACAAGAGTGCCGGGCCGACAAGCGAAAAGGGCCAACAAAGGCCGTCGGTCGTCGAGGATATTCCGACACCGACACGGACGCCGCTCAATGCCCTTGAGGCAACCCAAATCAATGGGTTGCCTCCTGGTGTTGATCGGGTGTCTGTTAAAGAAGGTGCCATGGATCCTTCTACTCCATCCAGAGGCTGGGGCATTCGAAGTCTGTTGAGCTCGGTTCCCCGTTCAATTTCCAGACTTCTGTCGTCCTTCGGTGAATATAGGGCAACCCCAGGACCTACGACCCCAACACCCCAAATGCCCGACATTTCCTCCCCACTCGTCTCGGATGCGGAAATTGACGTTCACCCTGCTTCACCACAACCTATTACCTCAGAAAACACCTCGGATTCACCGAGTATAACCACTGAGGCTACGTCCGATCCTACCTCCCCACGAATCGCTCCTACGCAGTTGACGTCGGATACGACGCCATCCATCAGCAAGACAAAACCACCTCTTGTGAAGCCTGCTTCTGAAGTTTCTGGTCCTTCCCTCACCGAATCGCTGACAGCTCATCCACAAAACAACGCTCAAGAAGAGTCGAACCCCTCTCACCCCGACTTAACGTATTCATTGTTCCCCCCTCCTTTGGATCGGAGTTTCTTTTTCCCACCCAATCAAGCTAATGTAGCTGACCCGCCAACTTCTATTCCTCCTCGTACTACCACAAACAGTACTAAATCCGTTGAGGCACACCCTGTTATTGAGGCCTCGAAGCCAAAGAGAAAACGGTCTCCTTCCCCCGACGTTATTCCCAATCCTCCGGGCTGTAGTTACGGCATGTATATGAAATATTTTGGTTATGGCACCGATAGTGAGGTATCAGACGAGGAATGGCTCAAGGAAGCGGATCGAAGAGACAAGGCGCGAAGAAAGGAATTCGATGAAGAAGTGCGAAAGAGGAAAGCTGCCTCCCAAGTTGCCCGTGCATCGAAACGTGTTCGATTTGATGTCAGCCCCCAAGATACTCCGTCAAAACTTCGTCTTCAGCAGGTCACAGCTACCACCGGCTTCCTGACACCTTCTCGCAACGCAATTGGTCCGAGTCGTTTGCGTGAGAATGACATCGCACAGCAGGCCTCCCCGTCACCTGAAGTATCATTGCACTCTAGTCCTGTTGATGATCGCCTCCCGGAGACTCGTTTGGAACCCGCCCCCCGCACCTTCATCCCAAACCCAACGGGAACTTACAAGTTAGACTACGACTTGTTTTCTAGCAGTGACGAAGAAGATATTGAAGAGAAAGCCCCTCCCACAAAGATACTAGTTTCGCCCACAAAAACATCTGTGAGGACCGCCAGCTCTGAGTTAAATTGGCCGTCGCCCATCCCGTTTACCCCCGTGTCTGGAACTCCTCTTAAAGGACCTTGGCCCAACCAGTTCGGCCGTGAATTCAGCCAACTTAAAGGGAGATTCGTTGTATAGTGGCATAGCAAGTGGTGTATTTTGGAGTTTTTGTTACTTTGTGTGCTATCTTTACCCCTTGTTTTCATGTTCATTTTGATTTTCTGTCTTGGTTTTTGCGTTTGTTTTCTTTTTCTTTTGCTTGTAGCCCCGGCTGTCTTCGATTTTTCGGAGTACAAAAGGGGGTTTTCTGTATGTAATATTTCACGCCCTGGCTTCCCTGCCTACCCTCCTTCGGGATCCGGTATGGATTTGGGTGCCCCCTCCAGATTGGGCTAGCCTGCTGGAGCGGTATGGGACTACTCTTGTGTCTTTCTTGTTCTGTATTTTTGTTTTGTATTTTGATTTTTTGCTTTTTTTGCTGTTTGGTGTTTGGTATAGCGTAGCATGTGTCTTGTATACCTTATTATTGTGTATGATTTTACATGCAGTAGATATTAGTGAAACAACATCCTTACCAGTGATAACTTCATATCCGAGATATAGTGTTAAGAGCGCAATGAATAGGGTTATTGCTCAAGTCTTTATTATTAAGGGCTCTATCTGGAGAGGGGGTTATTTAAAGCGATTATCAATTATCCGGTAAAGGGCCCAAGCAAGGTGCTGTAAATAGCTATTAAGGTTTTAAATTAGTGGAAGGTGGTCAACTTCACAAATTCAAATGTGATGCCCTGGGATATGATAAGACTACATTTGTAGCCCGTAGCACAGGGTAAGACGGTTAATTGCTTGATCACAGATTGTTGTAAATAGGGCTTTTATTTAGATGATAACCAGAACACCAAATATTGCATCGTAGGTCTTTGGCTTTAATATCCAATAAGAATCTCGAATCACCGGACGGGGCATTATGATACAAATTCCGGTCGAGAATTGAAAATATTCAATCAAAGCCTTCAAACTCAGACCTGTCAATACGACCATCAATATCTAACTTGTCACCCTTGAATGTCGGATGGCCGCCAGATGAAATGCTTTTGCCCTGTTCTTTCAGGGTTTCGCGATTCTTCTTGCGGATCGCTTCTACCATTTCCTGGGTTTCGCGCGCCTGAGCCTTTTGTTCTTCAGTCATACTTTGCCATTGTTGTTTTTCTTTCTTTGCACGTTTGCGCTCTCGTCGCTGTTCTTTGTCGGATTTCCTTTCGTGTGTTTTGCTCCACGAGTCATTCGACGTAGATGTCGGAGCTGGTCTTTTGAGAGGGCCAGAGCCACGTGTAGGAGCAGCGCTTAGAGATTCCTGACGATGTTTCTCTCGTTGTTTGTCTTTGTAAGGATACTTTTCCCAGTCAACAGTGGCGCCCAGTGTCTTGTCGCCGGTGAATTTTTGCAATTCGGGCATCTTGGGCAATTTAAGTAAGCCCCATGCCCGCCCCGTTTCTTCCCAGTCTATGTTCGCGACACGAAATATGCTGCTAGCGTGATGTTTGGTGTAGCTGCGAACCCAACTAACAAACGCCTTTTGGGCTTTGTCGTGCGTGGCTCGGTCACGGAGAACAACCTTGCGTATTTCATTTATTGTCTCTGTCACCATGTGATCGGATATCGATATAGCAGGAGTCTCAAGAGGCGACACGGGTGTTTTCCGCACTTCAAGGAAAGGGATATAGTCCTCCTCTCGCCCAGAACAAAGGAGTATAATACTCAGGCCACGACGACCGGCGCGGCCAGCGCGACCGCAGCGGTGAAGATAAGCCTTAGGATCTGTTGGAGGGTCAATTTGAATAACAAGATCAACAAGCGGAATATCTAATCCTCTAGCAGCAACATCAGTGGTGAGTAAGACTGACGGTGATAGCGAGGTTGTGAAGCGTGTAAAGTTTTTCTGTCGAACGGTAGGAGGATGTTTTCCATGGAGGGGAATTGTATCAAATATTTCAGGTAAAATATATGGCATAATCTGGCTCCAGTAATCTACGGCTGCACAAGTCGAAAAGTATATAATCGTTTTCTGAGGGGTTGGCTCGATTGAAGAGAGTATTTCCTTTACTGCTGGTATTTTCTGCGCAGGAGATACGCTGAGATATGTCATTTGTAAACTACGGGGATGTCAGCAACTAATATGGGCGTGCCTTGTGAGTTACTAAATACCTCGCTGGGGTACGCTTCTCGTCTGTTCCCGATGCTCCTTTCACTTTGACGGCAATTTTTACAGGATTGCGAAGTCCGACTCGAATTATCTGATCTACAGCATCGCTAACTGTAGCACTAAATAGACCAGTTCGTCGTTGTTTCGGTACTCGGGCAAGTATCTTTTGTAGGTCATCCTTAAATCCCAAGTCCAAAAGCCTATCAGCTTCATCAAGAACAAGGACTTCAAATGATGATTGAGGGCAATGGACATGAGGAGAAGAAAGCAGCTCTAAAAGCCGACCAGGTGTAGAAACTAGCAGGTTTGGAGACCGTTTCAAAAAGGCACTTAAGTCCTGTGCAGGAGTGGTAGTACCTCCAACAAGAAGTTGAGGAACAACTTTTAGAGCCGAGGAGGAAAGAGATGCCGGGATACTTTGATCATTTTCTGCATCATTGGAGCTTGAAAGCTGTATTGCAGCAGCTGACGGACTATGGAATGTGAGGAGCGAGAGCAGAACATTGTGTATCTGCTCCGCCAGTTCTCTAAGTCACCGGTTAATTTCTAAACATTGTAATAAATCAACAAGTAGGATTAAATAATACTCACCTAGTGGGTGAGACAATAATTGCTCCAATATGATGCTTTTTAATTTGCGATTCCAGTCGTAGTAGTTTCTCGACGATGGGAATGAGAAAAGCAATAGTCTTCCCACTTCCAGTTACGGCTTCCACGACGACATCTTTATGGCCCATAAACAAGGGAATAGTGGAGGCCTGGACAGGAGTCATGCGGCTAAAGCCCATGGAAGCAACTGCATCCAAAATCCATTCTGATAACGGAGGCGTTAGAGCTTCCCAGGCGCGTGAATGAGACGGCTGAGCCCTGGCAGCCATTATATAGTAAATTCACAGCAGCTCCTAGTGCTAAGAAGCTGTATCTCCGGCACGAGTACCTCAGACCGTCTGGGCGAGCTTGTGGCCGCCTAAACCTGCGCAGTAAAAATTTCCCAAAAGGGACCGCCTTGGCATAAAATTCACGTGATGTTTATGCCGCCAGTCACCGCTTATGCCTCGATAAGCATGTGATCGTATTGGATGGCAGCGTAATACATTACTAGCGTCTGGAGCTTTGACGCGAGGTGATTGGTGCAACAGTTACCTCCGTGGCGTTCCCATTGGCCAGCCTGAAATTCCGGTACCGTCCCATCACCGCCGCAAAAAAAAACCACGAGAAACCGAGAAATCTGGCAAAATGCCCATCGCCTGCAGCGAGCAACAGCATCAGCCTGCCTGCAAGCTGTTGCGCGCTGTCTGCTGCTCTTCTTTACACCGTGTCTTTCGCTATTGAGAGATTTAAGGAGGACTCGAAATGCTTTTGCGCTTTCCAACCACTTCGCCGAATTTCTCGCAGGCCTTCTAAAAGGAAGACGATTCGACACTCTTTTACTACGGAGTATAACGACTTACTTTGAACATCCCATATAATTCCGCCACCTTCTCAGACTGTGTCAGAATACTCCGCCTCATCTCTAGTATGCCTCTCCAGAAGGAGATTCCCGCGACGCCGCGCGTGATATCCCCGTCACCAACTCCCTCGGAGCTCTCGGACGGTTATCGAGCGCCTGTTACTCGCTCTGCATCTGCAAGACGGCATCTCTCGTCGCCTCCGCCAATATCAGAAGAGAAGCGACAAGAAGATGAATGTGGCTCTGACTCTAGCGTCGAGAAACGCGCCCGGACGAGATCTCGAAGCCCAACGAAAACCCCATCTGGCAAGCCCCGGCGTCGCCTGTCAGGTCTAACACCTATTCGTGAATCGCCTATTAAGTCGGAGCCTATAAAGAAGGGCTTTCTATCTCCTAATGGCCACCTCTCACCTTACTCGAAGGCCAAAGATCCATTTCGTGACCTCTCTCGCTCGCCGTCTCCCCTTGGTCTGATTCCTCTCCACAAACATTACAGAAATTTAATTCATCGCCACGAGATTCCTCGGAAACTTCTTCATGTCTCAATAGGCTTCGTTTGTGTTGATCTATATCGTCGTGGTGTTCAACCTCTAGAAATTTCTCCGTGGCTCTTCACCGCATTTATCCCTATTGCCGCGACAGATTTCCTACGCCACCGTTTCCAAACAGTAAACAGATTCTACATTCGCTGTCTGGGGGCCTTGATGCGCGAGACTGAGGTTTCAGGGTACAATGGTGTCATTTGGTACCTTCTGGGAGCATATATTGTTCTCAGATTCTTCCCAAAAGATATCGGTGTTATGGGCGTACTACTTCTCAGTTGGTGCGATACTGCAGCATCAACATTCGGCCGCCTCTACGGTCGCTATACCCCACGAATTCGCAGGGGGAAAAGCTTAGCAGGCAGTCTAGCTGCATGTGCCGTTGGAGTGTTCACTGCGGCGGCGTTCTGGGGATATCTAGTCCCTACTGTTGGATATTTTGCTAATGACCCCGAGAATTCTTTTATGTTCTCTGGAACTCTAAATCTGATTCCAGATACCGTAAAAGGCCTTCTCGAATGGGTTGGTGTTCCTCGAGATTTTACAGATAAGGCTGTAATATCTGGGCCCCTTGCCTTAGGAGTGATGAGCTTGTGGACTGGGGTTGTTGCTGCTGGCAGCGAGTTGATTGATCTATTTGGCTGGGATGACAACTTGACCATTCCAGTGTTGAGTGGTGTTGGAATGTGGGGGTTCCTAAAGGTTTTCGGGTCATGAAGTGATTTTTTCATTAAATTTACATATTGATGTTGTGGTAAACGATTTTTCTTTTCTATTTCTGCTGGCCCTTAGAGACCACTACTCTTTGAATATCGTATCCACCAGATACGACTTTTGGCCATCCCCAGTTTTACAGAGCATGGAATTTTTTCCCCTCGCGCCATGTTGGAAGAGTCACATTTTGCAGGGTTACCTCTCCCCCATTCGTAGCGCTGTGTTTAGTAGATAGTTGTCTATTTCCCAGCCAGCCGTTCTTCACCTCGCCATCATTTTCTTAAGATCCTGTTAAAATAATGTATGCACAAGCCTGTACTATAGGGAGAACAATGTCGAAAGACTGTGGCATAATATCATGTCTTCTGCTGTATGACAAATTCGAGATGCCACGTATGACGGCCATGGTAGGGAAGCAAATAGTGGGCCGAGCATAAAGTAAAAAAGAAAAAAAATCATTGCTCCTGATAGTCGCCATGCAACAATCACTTAGCTTTCTAAGTGATTTTCAATATCCGAAATGAAAGGGCTTTTCGCTGCATAAACAATGATCCAAAGCATATAGCGAGGTTATACTCCATACACGCCGCCCTCAAAAAAAAGGTAATTTCCCAATGAAAGTTCAATTTGAATATGCACCAAGAAGACAATGTCCAATATGGACAGAAAATATGGACAGAAGGTCTTCGTCTTACCCAGTAAGATCCAAAATGCTGGCGCGCCCTGTAAGCTTAAACAATCTCTCACTTGGAGGATCATCACTTTCATTTGATATCGAGATGCTTCTCGCAGGAATATGAGGTCTATATGACCAAAAGCCGTCCCGAATAATGATATGCGTAAGATCAATATGTTGAGGTTTTCGCTGGGGAGGTATAGTCTTTGTGGGTTGCGTCAAACTCTTATCCGGTTGAGATATAACGGAAGGCTCCTCGTCAGAGGATAGATCATCTAGGACAATTATATGCTGCCCTCCATCTAAATTGGCTTCATGCTTCCGACGGGACGCCGCCTTGGTAATACTTGATTTTTGGTTCGACCCATGATTTAGCGATTGTGGAACACTCCTAGACGTCGACCGCGGACTCAGCAGCGCCGGTCTTGTAGTTTTCAGACTACTGGATGAGCTACTTCTCCTGTCTTCGATGCAAAATGGGCTCGCTTCAGGCGGGGAGGACGAGATTGTTATGCATTCCACTGTGTCTATTCGAATTCTGGTAAGACGGTGCAGCTCATTAGAAGAGTCTTAGAGCGGTGCAGTAGTAGATAACCTACCATCAGCATCATCCCCAAGAGCCATGGCTGCTTCAATATCGCTTGACGTTGGACCACCGTTCTCCTTTCTTGCGTTTGGTAATTTGTAAAACGACGAGGCCCCGCTTTTTGTGCTTTTAATTGCGAACGCAGAACAATCAGCGATAGTTTTTTGCGTGCTGTTCCGAATAGCCTGACTGTGGTGGGAAATATTAGAATCGAGAAGTTGGTTTGGATCCCTGGGAGGTTTTGCCGATGATTTCGGTTGTGCTTTCATGATTGTACCATATCGATGGAGTGAGCCTGGTATCATCCCAGCATCCACTGCCTTTTTTGTCCTTCTAGAGCCCTTTTTTGATCCCGGTGGTTTTGTAGCAGCAATTTTCTTCTGTTCCTGTTCTTCATACCACGTTCTCACTGTTTCGGGTGTACCCATCGTTACCAACACCTCTAAGGTCCAGAATATCTGTTCCTTTGTAGGATCATATGATGTTCGTTTTGCGGCGGAGCTTGAGGGCTCAGCGGTGCCATCTTCAGGTTCAGATTCATCCACAATAGTAACAGGATCTAGACTCTCAGCTTGGGACACAGGCATTTCCTCTGCATCTAAATCAAAACAAACAACATGAGCCGGTATATATTTCAATTTCAGCTCAACTAGTCCATCCACGTTAATGTTCTCCTTCCTACCATATACTTGAACGCTGGGGAGTTTTTGGGGATGAGCACGTAGGTAGTAGGATATAAGTGACGGTGAAAATTTCCTAATAAAACGATGAGCGCCAGGGAGACAAGTCCATTTGAACTCCTCTGACACAAACTCCCTCAAGGCAACGACGTCAATCTCTCGATCCCATGGTAGGTTTCGAAGGTCTTGTAACTCGGATAATGGTGAGGTTACTGGGTGTACATAGTCAAAGAGTGCCTGTTGGTCAGGAAAGTCTTCAGGTATCTGCACTGCCTTATGTTTGCACCTGAAATAACCGCTTTCATTTGTTGAAAGCTCATAGTTTAGCCTTTCCCTCCACTCGTCCAAACTCGCTGTCGGGTATCTTGAACTGCTCTTGGCAGCGTTTATCAAATCGATACCGAACCCAGCCTGCATTATTTCCGCAGCTAATTTTGGCCCACATTTTGGTACACCAGTCGGTAGATAATCACCTCCGCTTAAAAGTGCAAACAAAACCATGCCCCCGACATCGAAATTGACATTCGCAGAAGTCCCTTCCCGCGTGTAGACGTTCACGTGGGTAGCAGCGCCCGGGTTCTTCGATGATGCCCTAGAAAAATTCATTAACGTAACTTTGGAACCAAACATTATCGTATCGATATCATTGCTCATGGCGGCATCAACGATGCCGTTCGCCTGGAGCTTGGCACATTCCGCTTCGGCCTCTCCAGGAGCATTGTGACAATGAAACCCGAAAAGTTCGATCAATCGTTTGGCGGAGCGAAGGTTCTGTCCTCCTGCTCTGCCATCCCTGATAACTATTTTTCCTCGTTTGTACTCCGGCCTTCTAGGGCCATCGAACACGAAAATAGGGTGGATAGGAAGCGCGAGAAGTCTTGTAAGCCGGTAAAACAAAGTTCGAAGCTCTGGATTAGATCCACCTTGGGCAGCCCTTGATTGAACAAGCCAGATCGATACGTCAATAGCGATTCGTATCGATCGCGAAGTCTTCTGGAGGTGGTCAATTGCAAACTTTGCCAAGGAGACCCTGTTCCCAGAGCCAAGCTCTTGAATAAGACTGTAAAAGGGCGTTAGGATTTATAAAGAAGTATCTTTGAATGTAGTGACCTACCCTGGGATACCCATGCATATCAATGCATGAATATTGTGATGGTTGAACAGCTATTGTGCACACCCTGTTGATGTTTATTTTCCCCATGTAGCATATGTCAACAAGTGGCGCCAAGTCCAGCAGCTATTCTGCCCTCTTTCACCGCCTGATTTGTGCAGCAATGCTCACAATGGATAGAGATTCAGCATCTGATGCTGATGCAGTTTATGTGCGCCTTCATCCATCTCTTGGCCTTATTTTCAATGAATTGATCAAAACATATCACCTGATTACCTTATAATAGAGTGAGAACCACTTTTAAAACTCAATACGAAATTGGATGAGCCAATACACCCAGACATTACCCGTTGAAACATCACTGTTGCTTAAGCATGAAACCTTCATTGGAGCCTTTGGCGTATAAAAATAATGTTCATTTAGCAGTATAATCAAATAAAGACCACAATCCGGACAAAATACCCGGGCTTTACGGATTACAACCATGGCAACACCTTCCATTTCTTCAGCTCATGGGACAGATAAGCGAGCTTCAAGCGTTGCAGCAGGTACCAAAATGAGCTCTCGGCAATCTCGCAATCATGGTTCTGCGTCTCCTCATACTCCACAACAATCGCGCCATATGCACTCGCCGTTCACCGGACCCTCGTCTCCTGGATCATCATTTCGGCATGAAGAAGACTCTGTTATTATCGAGATCGGGTCACGGTACCTGCGGGCAGGGTTTGAGGGAAACAGTGTACCAATGTGTATTGTCGGTTTTAACCCAGAGGAGGGACGGCGCGTGGGGGACTATAGAGGATGGATAAAGAGCACGGATCAAGATGCACAAATTGGCAAGATTCCGCCTACACCTTTAGGGCAGTGGTCGACTAAGTATGAGCTATGGACAAAGGATATTCGAGATTTTGACATAAGTCTTTTTGAAGCGAAGCTCGAACGGAGTATTCGAGAGTTATACAACAAATATCTTCTCACGGACGCTGGCTCGTCACGACTTATCCTTGTTCTGCCTTCGATTGTACCACATCCTTTGCTATCGTCCCTTCTGTCCACGATCTTTCACCGCTGGCGATATCCTAGCATCACTCTTCTTCCTTCTCCCGCCATGGCTGCCGTTGCAGCCGGAGTCAGATCAGCTCTCGTCGTAGACATCGGCTGGGAAGAAACCACAATAACTGCTATTTATGAATACCGTGAAATTCAATCAAAACGCAGCGTACGTGCAATGAGACTTTTAATGCAGCACCTGGGAAGATACTTAACTGGAATTGCTGGGCGAAAAGGGGACTCGACCGGTGGAGCCGATGATTTGGTCGAGCTAAACTTTGAGCTTTGTGAAGAAATCCTGACACGATTTGCCTGGTGTAGGCCCCGAAGAAAGTCTCAGCAGATATTCCCGGAGCAGCAGTCAGAGACCTCTGGCCAAGTGGCGCCGGATAATTCCGTTCTTGATTCAATGTCCGAATCAAAAGCGGCAGAGACCGTATCCTTGCCGCTACCAGTAGAGGATACGTTAGCATGCATAGATGTTCCGTTCTCATGTTTTCCTGAACTGGTTGAACAATCTTTATTTGGTAATGGGGTTGGGGATCGAGAATTTGACGATGAAGATACACCATTAGATAAGCTGGTCTACAATACTCTCCTTTCGCTTTCTTCGGATGCACGAGGGGCCTGTATTTCGCGGGTAACATTTGCTGGTGGTGGATCACTCATCCCAGGAATACGACAGCGAATTCTAGAAGATGTGAAGGCGATAATTGACCAACGGCAGTGGAGCCCAGCCGGAACCCATACTCTAAAGAAAAGGCCTGGAAAACTACAGCTAAGCAGCATAGACCAGCAACTTAAGACCCCATCCTTTGAGCCCTCCACCCATCAACAATCGACGAGAGCGTCGGAGAGAGCCCCAGATACTAGTTTTATTGACGAACGGCTTCAACATAATGACAGGGATTCTCATCCACAAATGAACGGCGCTCTCCGACAAGTAGACTCACTTGGGTCCTGGGCTGGTGCCAGCCTAGTAGCCAGCCTGAGAGTCAGGGGTTTTGTGGAAGTTGACCGTGAAAAATTCTTGCAACATGGTTTATCAGGAGCCAACCGAGACCATAACATTAGCACGATCATGGACCGTCGGTCTGGGTACGGGCCGAGTATGTCGAAATCCGGTGGCGATCGATCCAGCTGGACGTTGGGAGAATGGGCATAGTAATGCTGTCATTGATGATGGCTTCGTGGTAGCATATTAGTAAGGCAGTTGCGGCTATTAGCAGCACATACAATGAGCTTGACGATGCGAGGGCCTTGATAGATTTTTACTCTTGCTCAGATGCTATCATAACAAACTTTCGAGCTTGAATTTGTTGGAAACATACTTGCAAGAATGCAGAGGTTCTTGTTTGTTTTCAAACACGTCCTACTCTCGGCGCCAGCACCTGTTCATTCACTTGTGGGTTTTCCCTCCATGAAATTTTTTATTGCTGTAACTTCCATCACTTTACTTTAGTGATGTGCCAAACATCTTTTCATTTTTTCCTTCAGGATCTCAATGAATGAAATTTTTGAATCTTGTTGATACCATATCCTTTCAGGACACTCATATTTCTTCAAACAAACCCCTTTTTTGTACTTGCAAGCCTTATAAAACATCTTAATACCTCTTCAAAAATGAGACGGATGAGCTCCTTCGTGCAGGGGCTTCGCAGGATTTCAACATCCTCGCTCCCATTTAAGGATATGTCACTATCCCCAGATCGCCGCCGCGTCTCGAGTTCTGACCTTGTGGGTACGACCCTGAACGGGGATGACGCCTCGACCAACTCGAGACAAACAAGCAATCAGCAGTCGCTTGACGCCATTGTCACTGCTGAGGAGATTGATCCAGCCGCGTTGGTTTCCTCAAAGCGTGACGTTCTTCCTCGAGACCGCCCGAATCTCGAGGGACTTCTGAACTATCATGTCGCCCAGGTCGAAAGAATCAAGCGCGAGGTGGACGAGAACAACGAGACCATTGAGCAACTGATGTATACGTACTATGACATGAGCCATCACGCCCACCTCATGCATACGACGGAACACTTGCACGCTCGGATCCAGGGCGTGCGAAACTCAAGGAACCGGCTGGCAAAGTTCGTCCTGTTCCATCTGCAAGAGATGGAAAGAATTGGGGAGATGAAGCAGGTGCTGAATGGGCACCCGTATGGTCTGCCTAAACGGTCAGTATCATTTACCTATCTAGTTCCTATTCTGGGTTACTAACATATCTGTCACCCTATAGAGTCAGGGGCCTTCCAACGTACCGGGAGTGGAATGCCATGTTTTCGATCTGAGGTTTTTTTAGGCTTTCTTCACTTTTTTTTTGTTTTATGGAAAGATATCTATTCCACAGCTAGGGTGCTCTCGTTACCTACATCGAAGGAGTATATTTTTTAAGCCTACTTGCTTGATCGCCTTGGTACTGGCATTAACAAAAGCGCGTTTCGCTACAGCTTTGGGGGGTGGGGGAAATTATGGGCGTTATATGAGAAGGAAAATGATATCTGGCTGTGAAATGGGCGTATTAAGTATTATCTCTTGTAATACGTACTTGACTACAAAACTCTTACAATATGTCGTATGATATTATGGGATATGGAATCGGAGGCCTCGGGACTAGCAATTAGGGGTAGTCACTTCACACTGACCACTAAACCAAAAATATCAGATTTACAATTTCTGTATATATATTCAGACTATTTATACTCGTCCAAAGACGTAAGTAGCCCAATTAACAGCTGGGGCGGTGCCCGGGCCAAACACCTGGAATGGCAATTGATCCCACTGCGGATTGTTGATGCCATCAATCCAGCCTTCCGGCTCAATGACAACGCAGCCATACTGTTGTACCGTATCGACCGAGTTAGTTGCATTTCCAGCGCCTTGTTCTCTATTTCTTTGGACCTGAGAAGGTTTCACAGGCATAGTACCATTTTCTGCATTACATGTGTAGATTTGGACGGCCTTTTGATTTGTGTTGACAAGCATAGATATCCCCGTTGTGGTTGATGTCATGTTCAAAGCCAGAATCATGGTTTCAGGAGATGAAGTCCAGTCTGAAGTGTTTGTGGGTCGGTCAATAATGAAACATGTATCATATCCAGTACAATTATCACCGCACACACCAGTCGCCGATTGAATATTTTGGCCAATTAACTTTGGTTTCGTGAAATCCAGGGTTCCGTTACTTGATAATTTAACATCCGATATGTCACCTGTTGGGATAAGATGCGAGTCTGTTGGAATGTATCGACTGGACAGGGGTAGCTGAAGGAAGGTATTATCTAAGACGGTTGGGTCTTTGAAAGCGTTCAAATTCCAGTAAATATGGTTTGCCAACATTATTGGTGTTCTGGCAGATAGGGGAAGAGATACTATTCTTGAAGTAAGTTGGGTTTCAAAATTGGAATTGTTCAAGCTCCACGATGAATTGACGGTATAAGTTGCCATACTAATGACGTCTCCCGGAAAACCTTCAAAGCCGTTATCGAAAAGAGTAAATGTGATAGAATCTGTCGTATGTTCAGTAACCGTCCAATTGCGTTGGTCGTAGCCCACAGGTCCGCCATGAAGTGTCTGAGTGTCGTTAAATTCGTTTGAAGGAATATTATATGTGACGCCATCCAAAACAAAAGTACTATTTTTGATTCTGTTCGCATAACGCCCAACAATGGGTCCAATATAAGCATTTTTAGAGGCAACATTCGTAACGTATAAAGCCGGGTCGTCAAATCCAACGACGACGTCCTGTTGTTGACCAGAGCTGTCTGGAACAAGCAGTGATGTTAAACGAGCGCCGTATGGTATGAAAGAAGCAGTTATATTGTTTGCTGAGATAGTCAGTAGTTGTAGAGGGGAAGATGTATTGGAGAATGTGCCTGTAGGCATGGGCGCCGGAGCTGGAGCCGTTCCCGTAGCACCAGGGATTGGAATGGTAGAATTGGAGCCCGATAATTGGGCCCAAGTCATTAAAACATGGCTTAGGGAAATAAGAAGGGTAAGAGAAGAACGTATTGCCATTATTGGGTTGAAAAACGAAACTGAAAGCTGTGAGAAAGCTTCAAGATGATATTAATAAAATAGTTAGTTAACGGGGGCGGTAAACAAGGATATATACTCCATATATCAATCTTGGGCCGGACGTCACCGCTTACCATCCAAGTAGCAACGGAGAAAACTCAAAGTATGAACGGGCTTGAACCCGGGCTAATGTACCATCAACTTTTAGCTTCCAACTTATTATATAGAGAAAAATAAAGAGATAAGCGTGCTTGAAAAGTAAAGTGTACAGTATATAACAAGCAGGGTGAAGAGTATAAAATTCAGGCTCTAAGCGCGGGGTAAGGCTGGACCGGAACCATTTTGGTTATGCAATCTGTGTCGTCATACGTAGTATCGTGTGCTGAGGGGCATACCAGTTTAATCTGCCTCTGGCACCCTTGCATTGGGAAATAATACTCTGGGGTGGCATTCTCCGCGCTTGCTTGCTGGCTATTCAGTTGTTTAATGGCCCAAGCAATAATACCACAGCATAGAGTATTTAGTGTCATATCGCCGAAGCTCCGGCGAGTGCAAAAAGAAAGGCACAGAATAAGGTATTTGGGATGAAAGCAGGACTCTGGCTGGTGTCGAGGTTTGTTTCCTTGCGAGGTTCTGGGCCAGCACGACTTGCAATGGGATGATTACGTGATACGCAGTCCCGAATTCCCTGTGTTTGACAGGGTCTAAAGTCGACTAGCGCGGCTCATTTCCCCGCTTGGCCTACGGAGCACGGCAGCTTATTTATCCGGCACATTCTGGATGTTTATTGATCCGCGAGCGGCCTATTATTATATAAGCATAGTGCCCATAAACAAAGCGCACGAGCCACTTGCGATGGACCGGCGGATGACGCCAACGTCGGATAACAAACAAAGCACGGCGTTTTGGTGATCAGTCGATTAATGTTGGAGTGCTAGGTGTTTCGCTGGAACTGGGACGTGATACGAGTCGAGGTACTTCGCGGCCCATGGATGTCACCGCCCAGTTTTATATGGCCGTCATTGTCGATACTCCTGGCTTTTGAGCAATATTGCAACACATTCCTCACCCCTACCACCGTGCGCGAAGGCAGAATCACGTCGTAATGGATACTCCGAAGCGCAGCTCGTCTCCAGACCCTCTGGCATATCCAGGCGACCCTGAATTCCTGCTTTCATCTGCCATGAAGCCATTTTCTCAACGGAGACTAAGCATGACGCCTTTCAAACCTCGAACTCCGCGAAACCCATGGTCTACAAAAGCCAAAGTCAAAAGTACAAAGGGTGCGACGTCGATAAAATACCCGGATATCATTTTACCGTCCACGCCCTCCGGAGATCGCTTTCGCCGGAAGTCACTCTCCCCCACCAAAACAACTTTGCATTCGGAGAACAATATAAGCCCTTGGCGCATTCGGGTGACACTCGAAGCCGAGCGCGACGATGAAGAAGGAGGGGAAACCAGCGTAGGCCAAACTGCAGTTGGAAATTGGACAAATGGAAATACTTTAATGATACCTATGAAGACTGAGCCTTCGCCGGCGCGGGCATCACCCAAAAAGCGGCCGGGGAAACCAAAAAACCCTGGTATATCAAATCGCGTACCAACCCCAAGGAAAAAGCAACTTGGTGAACCATCCGATGTCCCACATACCGGAGGAAAGCGAAAGCGGGGGCGACCGAGGAAAACCATAGAGCCGACTGAAGAAAATTCACCTATTCGAGACATATCACCCACCAAATCTATCGGGCAGCTGCCCAGTGGAGATGATTTATTTTTGGATATTGCGCAGAGTGGCGTTGATAATGAGGATACCAGCGGGACCCCAATCACCCACCCCCTGCAAGACGCTCATTTCGACACTGAGATTTCAACCAAGCAACATCATAGCTCTCCCAGGGTTGATGTAACTGGGACCTCCAATGTCTTAAATGATAGAGAGGGCTCCTCTCCCTCAGGGACCACATTTCCTGTACAAATTGACGGTGGCTCATCGCCAATAAATGTAGAGTTTGCTGGGCACACCCCTCGGCCCAAAATCCGTTTGTATCCAACCCCCACATCCTCATCACAACTGGATGACGAAATAGACACTGCAGACACTGCTTCTAAGAAGGGTAGGATCATAGCCGACCCTACTGAGGAACACAGGGAATTCGATTCTATAATGGAAAGTGAAGGGTTTAGCATGGTCACATTGAACTCGCTACCATCGGCACAACAAAATCTTCTTGGTTCGTTGCATAAGCGTCCTGCTAGAAATGGATTAACGAAAGGTATTCTCCAGCCTTCTTCAAGAAACAAGGCTGTACGATCAGCAGATCCAACAGCCCATATCGCCACCGCCTTATCTGTGGATGAATCATTTCAAAATACTCGATCTATGGCAGCAATACTCTCGCCAGAAAAGGTTTCTGAGCAGCACAGCCCTATATCCCAACATGTTGGTGACACGGTTTCCCTACATGCAACGACCACGACTTCCAAGCCCCCACCTAGCAATACTGTTGATCGCAGACCTCTGGTTCGGCTAGTGCGTATCGTCAAGGTTGGCATTTCACTCCAGAGGATGATGAATCGAAATGCACAGCTTGAGGAATACCAACCGATTCCGAATATTGATCTAGATTCCACGAGGCAACGATTAGACAGTATCTTTGCAGATTTTAGCGTCGATATTCAAAGAGATCTGTGTGCCGGGGTTCGTTTTGGAGAAGAGCTGGCTCAAAGAATTCGAGAAGCGCATAAGAAACGGCGAATAGAACCGGCCGACAACCCTGTCCACTCTAGTTTGCACCAAGAAGAAGTTCAATACCCCCTACTTGATATTGCGGTCGATGGTTCTTCGTCAGATTTCGACGGGTCGCAACCTGATAAGCCTATGAGCCCGGTTGACCGAGGTCTTAATGGAGGCGACAATTTGACGGAGACAATCGACCTAGAGATGGCAAAGCGTGAAGCGGAATGGCAGCGCGAAAGAGAGGCGATTAGCAGCCAAATAGAAGCGGCAAATGCCAGCCAGGTGATTATCATTGATAGCGACGACGATGACCCCAACTCTGCTGCTGTTAGACACTTGGAAGTGGAAAGGAACGAGTTTGGAAACTCTATGGCTGCTTACGATGATGATTACGAGGATATCTGGCAACAAGAAGCTCGAGAAGCAGCTGTACCCTCGGAATCACCTTCATTTGCTGATGTCACTCATGATGATACCGTTCACCCGCGTCTGAAGCATGTCACTACAATGGAAGATGTAGGATACGAACAGGGTGAGGAATTACTTCCCGATCTCGCTTGGTCTGCGCTTGGGAAAAAATACCCCTTGATGTCATTTGGGAAATCACAGTTGGCAAAGTATCGAGATAAAGATTTTGAATTTTCTTCGCTAATTGGAACCCCCGAGAGTTCGACAAAGAGATTCATTCAAGGTGGCTCTGTGTCTGTTACGAGTGAACCGCACCCGCACCAGGTGATTGCAAAGGAGAAACACGCGGCGGAGCCAAACTCCGTGCCTGTCAAAGCTGCAAGGGAGGTTATTCCTGATATAAAGGATTTGCCGCGTTCTGAACGAGCTCAGTCAATATCAAGTGGCTCCATTTCAGAACTTCCCCCGCCCCCATCACTCAAATATACGGGTAGCGATCTCATGACGAACGATCAGGAGGGACTATCGCCTGCCAATCAATCACCGCCGCCTTTGCTAGGTACTCAAAACCAGAGTCAATGGGATGATGGTGGCAGGAGTCAAGTGGCGTTTGATGATGTGCAGAAGGACGGTCTAGACATGGGAGATATTGTGACTGTTTCTCCAGATGTTAAGCCTCCAGAATGTGCCACACCGGCGTCGAGGTGGTACGACCGAATAACGGGACTGGCCCCAAAATGGCTTGCCGCCACACGTACTCCACAGGACAAAAACCAAGACCAATTGCATAACATGATAGAGCCAGCGTCTCCTCAGTCAGTGGTTCAAAAACCCTCACATCAAAGCCACCCAGCAGCGCATAGGAGGAAACAACCAGCCAGCAAGCAATTGGCACTATCAGGCTATTTCACCGATGACCACTATGTCGCTCTGCGCCATGTTTACCACCAAGCCAAACAGTCCCCTCATCTCTTCCCCTTTGTCTCGACGCCCGAGCGCGAGGCGATGCTGGGTAAGTGGATGTGGTCCGTTGACGGCCATCAATATCGGCAAGTCACCGAAATCCAGCTAGCCATTGTCGACAAGTTCAGACAAGACCTTGTCAACGCAAACAGGCGGCGCGGCGGGTCCGATAACTTAGGATGGAGCGAGGAAGATATTCTGTGGAGGCTGTTTAGCATTATTGTTGGAGAGAAGCTGAGGAGGGAACGAAAGAGGCAGTATGCTGCTGAAAGCAGGATATGCTGACGAAGAGTTTGGACTTGAGTATATTTGGATTTTTTTGATATAGATACCCCCGCTTCTTGTGTTTTATTTTGGTGTTTGTCGGTTGCATTATTGGAGTATCTATTGCGCTGTTCAACGGGGCATAACTCGATATTCATTGGTGCGGGCTTGCTAGGCCCATTTCAGCAATACACTCATGCTGCGCTGCCTGAAGATTGCCCGATTTGGTCACTTTTGCATCGTCCCCGGCTAATTCAAGGCACTGCTCAATAATCCGTCTAGTGAGAGGATTTTTTCAGAAGCTTGGGAACTTCTGTTTGCAAAATCACGATGCAGGATCGTCCAAGGCTAGTTGGTGTCTTGCTAGCAGATGGGCTCCCTAGAGGGCATTGGGTACGCAATGTGAGGATATGGTATATAGCGCTGGTAAATTTATGAGTGTTTATTCCTTTTATTTTCTATTTTTCATCTTCTCAATCTGACAGATGTGTATGCAGTGTTTTTCCTCCAACTCCCCAGGACTTAGTGAGAGCTGTGCATCCTATAAAATACATGATCATTTATCACCGCTAGTATGAGCCAGCCAGGTGGGCATTTGCCGGCTATTATTGCTACTAAAATGAATCTCTATATGTATGGAGTATAGGCACGATAAATCTCACGATATTTGAGCTTTCAAGTGAATCCTTTACTGCTCCAGGCCCGTTATTCATCCGATAAACCGCTAGAGTGGCCTTCCGTTCTTCATTGTACCCTTTCAGCGCCGACAAGGAGCCCGTCTGCTAAAGTATATAGGTGGGAACCTTGCTAGAGCCATCGAAAATGCTGCCTGGCGTCAAAACAGCCTATTTGTCTAGTGAACCTCACTCACACCGTAATGATACTGGTACAGCTACAAAGCAAGCTTGCGACACCAGACCTAGACAGATTGGAGACACATCTCTGGCTGGCTTTGAACCAAGACAGTAATTTTGAACATCACTTTCTGACAAACACTCGTTCAGCCTCCAGTCACTTGGATATATATCAAGAACAGCTGCGGTCAAGGATTCATTGCCGTCAGGAACTTGAGAAAATTTGAATACACATTACTTATCTTTACCTTCACGGCGTCTTGTAGAAGATGCAAGGTGCTTTCTGAACATTTTCTTTCACTGCCCAAGAGAACATAGTATATATCATCATTCACTTTTTCCTCAGCTTTCATTCGTGTCTATTTTGCACATTCTTTCAACAACCAACCCATTCACGGACTCTGAGTTTAGGTGAGCTTTTTTTCCGGTATCACTTTACCATCTTCCAAAATAGGACTAGACCATTGTCAGTTGCCTTTATTTCACCTTGCTTGCTCAGGTATAAAGTGCTCTTAAAATCGCCTGCCTCTTCTTCTTTTCTTCGCCAGTGTCGATGCGATAATAGAGGTACGTACTAGCATCGCCATTAATGTCTTCTATTTCTCCTGCTGATTATTCCTTTCTATAGGGTGGGATATATACAATTACAGTATAATAATAGATAAAATGGCAGAGGTACAATTACCAATGGGGAACTTGATATCAATTCGTTCATTTCCCCTGGCAGCAATTTTATAGATCCGCAAAGCCCTGCTTTAATGGAAGATGTTTTTCAAGAACTTCAGTACATCGATGGGGAAATTCTGGTGTGGCACAGTGCTTGCCGAGCTTTTGACAAGGTTGACATCGACACCATTGGCCCGAGTCTTTGGAACCAGCGACCACAGAATCTGAAGATTTCTGGCAATTCTGAATGTCTGAAACAGAGTCAAAGTCGCATGGAAGAAACCCTATCCTCCTAGTCAATGAGGATGGACAAAATCTCAGCTTCTAAACCTGATTGAAACAAAAGTCTTGGGCTGAAATAAATGGTTGAGAAGGAAGAAGAAGTGAAAGAACAACCGCTTCAGCGTAAGGCGAAACTGAGAGCAGAGAACCTAAGGCTGAAGAATATCAGGAAAGCAGCATTGGAAACAGGAATTAAAGCCACAAATACAGCTGAAGAGTGCTGGCACGACGGCATCCAATTACATTGGGTCTTTTGTTAGAAACGACCACCGTTTCTTCACCGCATCACTCACCATTCCCCCACGTAATGTTTCCCCCCCAGCCCATCACAGGCCGGCAGTTAAACAGCGCCGACCCATCGCCAAGCCAGGCCAATCCAGGCCGCGAGCCAGTCACGACCGACAGCCCCCGGTCCTCTCTCGGATGATGGAGATCGAGGAGACTAACTAGTGGGCCTGCAGGCGTCCAACCAGGGCGCCCAGACCGGGTTAGACAATCACGACAGCGTTCCAAGCGCTTGGTGCCGCTGCGGGAGTGGGAGTGGGGATGGAATTACTTTCCAGGCAGGCCCAATGATGGGCTCGCGCGAGATCTCGGTGTGATGGCGATGTAGATACGAAGCGAATAAATAAGAAGAATAATTGTCCCGTAGTCAAGTAACTAACTAGTTTGGTTGATGAAAAAGAAAAGAAACAAAACAGCCCAATAAATATACTATCGGGAGGATCAATTTCCACATCTCTGCGCCACGTCGCGTGCGAGCGAACGTCGCGACGCCCGCCCAGTCAGTGGTTCTGGAAAGTTCGGGCAGCATGTGCGGGGCGAGTTACGGAGTGGTTAGTTATCTACTCCATAAAGGCCTGAGCGGTGGTTTTGTTTGGTCTGTGTTCGCCTCGCCAGGGCGTGTTGGCCCCGTTCCTGGTGGTGGGAGGCTCGTGTTCGACCAGAACTAGCTAGTAACTAAGTACATAACTAACATACCATTTGCTCCCCCCTTTTTTTTTCGCCTGGTTCTCAATTCGAGGGGAGGCAGTGTTGTGGTGCCAGAGATCGGGAAGCGAGAGGTGGGCGGCGGCAGGGGGTCGATACGGAGAGGAGTACGGAGTAAACGATGCATATATGGTATGGCTAGGTAGGCCAGGGATCCCGACAACCGAGCATCCGTGAGGCCGGGGGTGTGCTATGTTTAGCGGGCATAAATAATAATAATAATAATAATACTGGTAAGGGCCTCCAAGCTCGCGTAGGCGGGCGGTTTCGTACAGCTCACGGATTGGCGCGGGGCGCGGGCTGGGAAGTTGGTCGGCGGCGGGTCGGGGAGGATTGGGGAATAGATAGGATCGGGTTGGGCTGCGCTGCACGCGATGGAAGAGCGATGCCAGCCACAGCCACTACTATTTAGCTCGAGCAATAATTAGTTGCTAACTATAGTGGGCTGACGTGCAGCGATCGCCGGGGACGAGATTGGCGAGCAGCCGGGATAGCGACGCGGGCGGGCTGCGGGGTGCAACGTCAGCCCTACTCCGCAGGCCTTGGCCGGGAGAGAGGAGAGAGGAGAGAGGGAGAAGAGGGAGAAGACGGAGAAGAGGGAGAAGACGAAGAAGAAGAAGAAGAAGAAACGAGAGAGGCGTGCTGGGCGGCATGGGTGGGCGGCCGACTAAGATCGTTATGCGGGTGCTAGGATAACAGCGCGAGGGATGGCCGTTTCTCGAACGGGCGAAGAAGCGCACCAAGAAGACCGAAGCGGGGGCGGGCGCGGGCTGCACGGCGGGCACGACGTTTCATCGCGATCCTGGCACGCGGGCAGCGAGTATTAGTAGCAGCGGTGCGCGCCGGCGGTGCGATCGATTTCTGTTAACAACTTACTGCTCCTCTCTCTTGCTTTCTGTCTCCCTCCCTGCTGCGATGGCCTCCGCGACGGCCGGCGCGACGACGACGACGACGTCGCCGTGGTGGCCGGACGACCGCGTGGCGGCGACGGTGACGGCGGGCTTCGTGCGGGCGTCGCTGGCGCCGGCGCTGCAGGCCCAGCTGCTCCACGGCGCGACGGGCGACGGCAGCTACCTGGCGTGCATCCTGGAGCGCGCGCGACGGCTGTTCGTGGTGGTGCGGCTGCTGGGCGTGCCGGCGAGCATCTTCGCGCTGCTGGACGCCGGCTTCGACGACGCCGACCTGCCCGTGGCGCCCGCCGCCGCCCTCGCGCGCCTGCGCCTGCCGCCCGCCGTGCGCGCCGTCTTCGCCCACCCGCGCTTCGCCGCCGCCCAGGCCCGCGTGCTGGTGCGCGCCCTGCCGCCCGGCGCGCACGTCGCCTTCCACGCCGCCGAGCCCGTGCCGGTCGACGTCGATGACGATAACCAGCAGGCTGCCAGTCTGCCGCTCGTGGCGCTGCCCGCCGGCGCGCAGCTCGACGCCGTCACGCGCGCCGGCGCGTCGTGCGCGCGGCTGCGGCGCCTGACGCTCCCGCTGCGCGCCGCGCCGCGGTATCTGGACGACGACGAGCTGCGGCGCGAGACGGCGGCGCTGCGGCGGCTGCGGCACGCCCACCTGGTGTCGGTGGTCGGCTCGTACGCCGTGCCGGGCGCGTTCCATGTGCTGCTGGCGCCGGCGCCCACGGCGCTGACGCTGCGCGACTTCACCGCCGCCGGCGCGCGGCCCAACCGCTTCAAGAAGCTGCTCAAGGCCGGCGACGACGCTGCCGCCGCGCTGGCCAACTGGCCGGCCTGTCTGGCCAGCGCGCTGGCGTGGCTGCACCACCGCCACGGCCTGCGCCATGGTGCGCTGCGGCCGTCCAACGTGCTCGTCGGCGCCGACCACCACGTCGCGCTGGGCCTGTTCGACGCCTTCGATGCCCTGCTGCCCACGCGCCGCCCGCTCGACCTCGAGGCCTACCAGTACGCCGCGCCCGAGCACTACCCGCGGCCGGCCGGGCATGACGAAGAGGACGAGCAGGGGGCGGAGGAAGAGGTGCTGCAGCCCAAGCTGCTGCCCGCCCTGACGCTGCCGCGCCGTGCGGCCTATGCCCGCCCGCGCCCGTCGCTCGCCCGCCCCGCGTCCGCCGCGTCCGTCGCCTCCAGCGCACACAATCATCCTCCCATCACCACCACTGCGCCCACGGCCAGCGTCGCGTCGCTCTCCAAGCCGGCCGGCGGCGCCGTGCCCACCAACCGGCGCTACGACCTGGCCGCCGACGTGTTCGCGCTGGCGGCGCTGACGCTGGACATCCTCACGGGGCTGTGCCGCAAGAAGCACGCGGTGTTCGAGCGCCATCGCAGCGCGTACAACCGCCGCGCGCCGGGCTACGGCGGCAAGCTGCCCGACGCCTCGTTCCACTGCCACCGCAACGCCGGCCAGATCGCCTCGTGGATCGTCATCCTCGAGCGCGACGCCGCCCGCCACAAGGGCCCCGTCTACCGCGCCGTCGCGCCCACCCTCGCCGCCGTGCGCCCCATGCTCGCCCGCCGCCCCGCCGCCCGCCCGTCCGCCGCCGCTGTCGCCCACCGCTTCGCCCAGGCCCTGCGCTGCGTCGCCAGCGACTACGAGCCGCACTGCCCGGTCGAACCGGAACTTGAGCCTGAGCTGGAGCCCGAGTCCGTGCCTCCGCCCGCGCCCGCGCCCGCGCCCGACCTGGCCGGCCCGCCGCCGCCGCCGCCGCGCCACCCCTCGTCGTCCACGCTGTCGTCCGGCGCCGCCTCCGCTTTCCCGCTGACCCCCGACGCCCCCGCCCCCGCTCCCGCTGACCCCGTGCTCGACCGCTACTACGCCCGCGTACCGTCGTCGTGCTACAGCTTCGACGACGACCCCGCTGCCGGCCACCACCCACCCGAACAACAGAAACAACCACCACCACCACCACTGCTGCACCACCCGCCCAAGAAGCCGCGATCGAAGCCCGCCCCGGTCATCGCGCCCTCGGGCCTCGACCTGATCGACCACGAGGACATCGGCCGCGGCATCGACCTCGACGCCGGCGTCGCGCCCACCACGCTCACGCCGCCCCTCCCCGCCTCCCCCCCCCCCCCCCCCCCCCCCCCCCCCCCCCCCCCCCCCCCCCCCCCCCCCCCCCCCCCCCCCCCCCCCCCCCCCCCCCCCCCCCCCCCCCCCCCCCCCCCCCCCCCCCCCCCCCCCCCCCCCC